TTGAATTTACTCAATTCTTACGGTTAGCTTACCTGGATGGAGGCTATGTATCTGATATACGTAGAATGGACTGAAGTTTTGATCTCGCGCACTCTGTAACAGTAAATTTAATTACTGAATTACTTTAATTAATTTTATTATAAATAGACGTTGTAAGTTAGGAATAGTAGATTTCTCAAAAGCTCTACGAAGGAACTGTGTTTTCTACCGACTTGCCCGTATGTCTGATTGTTAGTATACAATTATAATATTGAAGGCTGATATTTATACCGGAGATAATTATGTAAGTGAATGTAGTATACTTAATATCTGCTGTTATGGTGTCTTGTTTGTGGGTATGGCTTTGTTTACTATCGGGTTGTCCGGAAAATAATGCAGGATTTTAAGTTTTCATTAAAAAAAATCTATATAAAATATTCTGTTTACGTTTACAGGATTACTCANGTATGGGAAATTATTTTGATTAAAGAACATTGCTTTAAAGTAACTAGTTTCTTTTTTTTTGTTTAATACCAAAATCCTGCATTATTTTCCGGACAACCCAATAGTTTGTTGTTCGTGTCTGCATTGCTCTAACCGTTGTATGCTATTTTTACTGTTTTTTGTTCGCTTTTTGACTTATCATTGGTCGTTTTCATGGGGGTGCTTCGAGTGATGGCCATGAAGTTTGGTTGACTCCGGTTAGATTTATTTGCCTTTGCCTATCTTCACAGGCATTGGAAAAACCAACAACCAGTGATGATAGGCCGACCAAAATGATTTGAAATGATCAAACTATAAGTTTATACTGTTGTTGGGTTAGATTAATTTATTTCTGAGTAAATATTAAGTAGTATTGACCAGTTAATGGATTTTTTTATTATTCAACTTACATTTTTTATTCAGTAAATTGTTATGAAGTTAAATTAATTTGTTATCTATCGTCATTCAAAATAACACATTCATATCGACTTTTGTAGAAACTGCTTTTATAACTAGACTTTCATACTTTATTGTCGGGGATAGGTGTTAGGTTTAATTTTACGAATATTCACATTTGTGTTATCGATGATTTTAAAAAATGGATAAATTGGTTAATTTTGACATGCCAATTGTTTTTCCTCCCATTGGATGAATATACCGTGATAAAATTTGCAGAAAATCTCAAGTAGTTAGAAATTCAGACTTTAGCTTGTGACGGAAAAGAGTACTGTTTGATAACTCGGAGAATTAATTACAAAAGATTGCAAGGGTTGCTAGGGAAATAGAAACAATAGTGTCATTATGTCGTTATAACCACTTTTCCCCTTTATCGTTTTTATTTTCGCCCCCCCCCCTTCGGTCAAAGGTATACAAATGTTCAATGTCGGAAGACATCAGGTTTATTTTACTCAGTGGAAAGGCAAAGTTCCAACTACTTCCATTCACTTTGTTAAGGTACAATATCATAGTTGATCCAAACTGACATCGAAAATTGATCCAAAATGGGAAAGAATAATACAAACATAAAGTCGTTAGTGAACAGTGAAAATTAACAGCGTTTAGTCCGATAGACACATAAAATTTGAGTTATGTCTTTCTAAAACGGTCCTATTTACCAATGGCAAGTTCCTCCGCTATCTTATTCAACGTTTAAAACTTATAATGAACAAAAGATGTTCCGACGGCCCTTAATTCTTCCGGTGATAGACTTTTCGAAGAGGCCTAATCATGTGATGAAGTTATAACTTTATCAGAGCTAAAACAGAAGAAGATAGACACGACTTGCTTAACTCGAGCAATATATCATTACAAAAAGAAATATCAGAGAAGACCCAAAGAGGTGGGTAATCGACTACAGCTATTTATACATTTGAATCAATAGGAGCTTTTGGAAGGGTACATTAACGGAGACTGAATATACAAGTCGAGCAGACAACGAGATTCTATTTTTAAAACCGATATAAATACTGTATCATTCAGACAGATATAGAATGACTGAAAAGTTGTTGTTTTTTCTCTCTCATTCTCTCTATTTCTCTTAAAAGGTTTGTTAGTTGAAAAATTTCTAGTGTTAATTCTACGATAAATGAAGTAAACATGCTTTCCAGGCCGTTTTTAACAGTGTGTTGTCAATGTATGTATAATGTTTATTTTAACTTCAGCAGATCTTTTCACGCCAGCCCGTTCCGTCTTAGTTTAAATTGTTATCTCAGCGGTGTTTGTACGTTGTAAAAAAACACTACACACTGCGGCGTACTTAAGTCACAAAACCAATATATTTGAAAAAGAGGTTTCGACTTCGAAAACTTCGGAGTTGATAACTTTTTAACATTTATAGAATGCTGTCGGCCTTGCAAAGGATGAACATACAAACTGTTTAATATTTATCAAAATACAACTGTAAATATCAGCGAATAATTTTAAAAAAAGTTTTAACAATAATATGAAAATTACAACAAAAATTGAAAATCTATTTTTAACAAAACGCTATAGATGGTACATTGATTTGAGACGTGAAATTGATATGAAAATTGAAAAACTTAAGTTGTTATTAATTTCTACTCCTTGAACCATTGCCAAACTATTACCAAAAACGATTTTCATTTTCATTTTCTCTATCTAGACTTCACTCATTCAGCCTCCTTTTAATTTATAATTTTTGTTTTGAAGAAATTAATTTCAACTAGATATTCTGTGTGGCAATGCAAAAAATATGAATGTCTTAAAATATGTTATAGTGCTTATATAATATGGAAAATTTACAGAGACATTTGCCAGAAGCAGTAATTCATTTTAAATTAATTGATTTTGCTGTTGAACTTAGCTTATCAGCCACTAAGAAAAATTATTTTCCAGTTTTGAGGAAATGAACTTAGACTGGATTTTCTTTGAAATTTAACTACAGACATAATTTGAATTGAAAAATTCTAAAAATTGTTTTAAAAATATTGACCAGAACTAGAATTTAAATAAATAAATAACTGCAACATAATTGCAGTGAACCAAACCAAATGGAACCACAACCTATCCAAATTTCTCAACCGAAAAACCCATTGGACAAATATCTAAATTTTCCAACCGGTTGAACTCCATGTACAGGAAATAATTAAAAATACTGAAAGGGCATACATGTAAATACTACTAACTTTACAATTATCAGTGTTAAGCATTAAGGTACTTACACTTTACTCATTATGTACCTTTATTCCCTGTCCCTTTGGTTTTACTCTTGACACAAAGATCCACTACTGTAGTTGGTAAGAAGATGTATCAACAGACCAAACATCGAGGATAGACAGATCAAAATGACAGTAAACTACCAAATTACTGGTTTCAGAGTATCTACACAACAAATGTCCCTGACAAGCAATAATCTGGTCAAAATGATTAAGCGCACTGCAGAAAGTGCTGACAAGACAATGGAACGGTGGGTGTTAAAAAAAATCAGATCTCAAAGCAAAGGAAAATAATGTATTCCTCACCCTGCAGACAGGAAATTTGGAAAATCATAATTCATAAACTTCTTCACTGGTTACTTAATTGCTCATAAAAACATAGAAATCCAACAAAACCAAGGCTCATGCCATTTCTGCCTCATTGAATGAGAGACAACGGAATTACCATGTGAAACTTTAGCCCATATACCTATCATATTTTGGGACATTAAGATATTTACAGAAAAAGACAACCAGGATAACGCTTAATGTAACGAAACTACCATGGTTTGAAAAAACAGTACAATGTATATATGTATCTATTCCCACAATATAACTAACTAAAAAACGTTACAGATTATTTATTAATTTATTTATTATCTACAAATCAATACACAATAATATTTAAACTTAGCTCACCATGGCGCTGTAGAAAACTAAATGTAGCTATGAATAAATAAATAAATATTTAAAAAAGATAATTTTCAGGGAGATAAATAGAAAAACTTGCATAACCATGATATGCAAAATTTATGTAGTGGACTACATAGATGCTAGAAAATTCAATTTTAAATTAATAACACAATATTAAACTAGAGAATCAAACCAAACTTGAATTGAATAATTACTTTTAATAAAATTTTCTTTGGAATCGGCAAAAAAGTGGCTGCCTTTTATCTAAACCTTAATTTTTTAACCTCCAAGGTTGTAAAAGTAATGACATATACTAACTGGTTATATTTAATGGTATCGATGGCACTGTAGAAATATAAATGTAGCTATGAATAAATAAATAAATATATTAAAAAAATATTTGTCAGAGAGATAAATAGAAAAACTTGAATAACCGTGATATTCAAAATTTATGTAGAGAACTACATAGATGCCAGAAAATTCAAATTTAAATTAATAACACAATATTAAACTAGAGAATCAAACCAAATTTGAAATGAATAATTACTTTTAATAAAATTTTCTATGGAATCGGCAAAAAAGTAGCTGTCTTTTATCTAAACCTTAATTTTTTAACCTCCAAGGTTGTTAAAGTAATGACATATACCTAACTGGTTATATTTAATGGCATCGATCAGTTATACCATTTGTTCTGCTTTAATTACATTGGTTTTACAACTATCTTGACGATTTTGTATCATCAATTTAAAAAAAATTATATCCATTTAATTTTTTAAAAGGTCTTCATACTGCCTCCTACTACCCGTTTTTGTTATTAATTTTATTCATTGATATCCAATTTGAACTATATTAGATAGTTGCATAGAAATAATGATTTCTTCGTAATTCTGAGTAGCCCCATCTTGACAAAATTTAATTTCAAGAAGACAATTGCATGATATTATTTTTATTACCTTTTATTATTACATTATAAAACCTAAATGGTATAAACAAGATAATAGGTTAATAATATTCATTATATTATTTATAAGCCAAGTAATATTTTAGTCCAAAGGTATAAATCAAAGAATAAATAGTGAAGATTTTATATTTGCCTATAAGATTTTTAACTAACCTATTGTTAATGTAGTTTGAATAAATTGTGGAAAAATTAAATTGTAATGTGTAATCAAAATTTGTCTTTTGTTTTAGCACGATGTGGGTTCTTCTTGTAATGTCTCCAAGACTTTGGGTAGTCGATGAGCCGAAGGATGATGGATACACTGCCCTTCACCTTGCTGCACTAAATAACCATGTAGCTGTCGCTCAGCTCCTGATTCACTATGGCAAAGCAGATATAGACATACAAAACCTAAACCTTCAAACTGCATTGCATCTTGCGGTAGAAAGACAGCATGCACAAGCTGTACGTTTACTCGTACGAGAGGGTGCAAATTTAAACATAACTGACAAAGACGGCGATACACCCATGCATGAGGCTTTGCGACATCACACTATGTCCCAGATAAAACAGCTTCAAGGTGTACGAGACATTGGAAAGGTAAGTGTTCAATAAAATCGGATGTGGATAAGTGGATAAAAGTTAACATTCAATTTTGGTTTCAGCTGCTCATGGGGTTGGGAAGTCAGGATGAAGTACATGAGGCTAAATCTTCAGCTGCTATTGCTTGCTTTCTTGCAGGAAGTGGTGCTGATTTGACTATTAAAAACAAAAAAGGGCAAACACCACTCGATCTTTGCCCAGATCCAAACCTTTATAAAGCACTTACCAAAGCACACAAAGATAAAGAGACGTAAGTTATGAATGCCCTAATGTGATACTGATTCATTGGAAGATTACAAGACGTACCATGCTCATTATAATCAAATTACATATAAATGTAGTTAATGAAATGTTTCATTTTTCAGTGATCAGCTTGACCCGAGAGAAGGCAATATAGATCCTTATCTTGAAGAATGTTTGATATGTTCAGATCACAAAAAGGAAACATTATTTCATCCCTGTGGGCATGTTGTTTGCTGTTCATTGTGTGCTCCCAGGGTCAAAAAGTGTCTTATATGCAGGGAACTCGTTCGCTCTAGTTCTGAGGTAATTATAAAAATATTGAATTCGCTTGATGTTAAAAATAGATGAAAGAAGTAATCTGTAGTCATTTACTTTTTGTTTACCTATAATCATAGCTTATTGGTCATCACTCAAATAAAAACTATTAAAAAATTAATAATTAGTTTAATCAATGAAATGTACTAACTCTAATAATGTAATTTAGATTGAGGAATGCTTGGTCTGCTCTTCCAAAAAAGCTAGTGTTCTGTTCAGACCTTGTGGGCATATGGTTGCATGTGAGTTTTGCGCCCCTCTTATTAGGAAATGCTTGCAGTGCCGAGCACCAATTGTAAAACAACTAGCCTTTTCTACTTGCTGTGGAGCCAATGGTAAGCAATTGTGATAATTTAATTATTTTTTTATTAATTAATGAAATAATTTGAATAAAAGAAGAAGGAATTGTGCGCGATGGAGAAACTACTGAAGTGAGCAATGATGAAGAGGATAAAATTGCAAGGTATAAAGAAAACAACTCACAGCAGGGAACAATTGGTAATTTCACTACGAAGAAAGAAAATCTGCAGGTTGAAGATGCAATGGCTCAACCTTCAGCTGCAGCTGCGATTCCAGGGCCTTCTACATCATCTACAGGACCTACCAATATTGGTATGATCAAAATTCAATTTTTACAAATGTGCAAAGCATAAATTTACTATTTGTAATATTCAAAATTGTAGATAAAGCAATGTTGTCATGTAAAGCTCCTCTTATGAACAATGGATCTCGAGATGCAACAAGCTCTGCCTACCAAAAGCTTCAACAGAAGCTTCAGGACATAAAAGAACAGGTAAGAAAATGAAGCAAAGACTTCCTATAATGTTAAATCCTTCTGGTCTTCATCATTGAGAAACAATTCACTAAAGGATACTCCTTATCTATAAAAGATAGTGATATAATATTTATATATTACTCTCAGGTATCTGAAAAGTTTGTGTTTTTTCAAAAAAGTTTTCAAACTATACTCAAATTCCTCAAGCTCAAGTGTAGTTCCTTCTAGCCATTATTATCCGAGCAGGATACTTTAATGATGTCATTGTTGTAAATATTGGGTTGTCCGGAAAATAATGCAGGATTTTAAGTTTTCATTAAAAAAAATCTATATAAAATATTCTGTTTACGTTTACAGGATTACTCATTTGTATGAATGTCAACACTTATTAATCCTCTTCCAAATGATATTGTTTGTTTACCTCTGTAGCATTCCGCTACTTGGAAATAATTCAGTCATCCTTATAATGTCAAAGCGAGAATTTCGTACGATTTTCTTTTACGAGTTTAAACTCGGCCGAAGCGGAGCCCAAACGGCTAGAAACATTAACCAAGTCTGGGGCGAGGGTTGTGTTAATGAGTGCACTGTGCAAAGGTGGTTTAAAAAATTTCGGGAGGGAGATTTCAGCCTTGATGATGAAGAAGGTCGTGGAAGGCCTTCCTCTCTTAATGATGATGTTCTGCGATCAGTGGTGGAAGAAAACCCCAAAACAACTGTTCGAGAACTTGCAGAGCAACTCAAAGTCAGTAAAACGACCGTCGCTGACCACCTCAAGGCGATTGGAAAAGTGAAAAAACTCGAAAATTGGGTTCCACACTCATTAAACGATCGCCAAAAAAATCAGCGCTTTGATGTTTGTGCATCACTTCTTTGTCGAAACAAAAATGACCCATTTCTGGCCAGAATTGTTACATGTGACGAAAAGTGGATTCTCTACGATAACACTAGACGTTCTGGACAGTGGCTCGACAAAGGAGAAGCTCCAATACATTTTCCAAAGCCCCCAACTCATCAAAAAAAGGTAATGGTTACGGTATGGTGGGCTTCATTTGGTTTAATACACTACAGCTTCTTAAATCCTGGCGAAACCATCAATGCTGAATCATACTGTAACCAAATTAATACCATGCATCAGAAATTGGCAGTAATGAAGCCCTCTTTGGTCAATCGGAAAGGGCCCATTTTGTTGCATGACAACGCTCGACCACATGTGTCACGTGTAACGTCACAAAAATTATTGGAGCTTGGCTATGAAACTTTGCCTCACCCACCCTACTCTCCGGACCTCTCGCCTACTGACTACCATTTTTTTAGACACCTGGACCACTACTTACAACACATAATATTCAAAAATCAAACGGAACTGGAAAATGCATTTATTGACTTTATCAATTCTAAAAATTCTGAATTCTACTCAGACGGAATTAATAAGTTACCAACACGTTGGGAGAAATGTATTGAGAGTATGGGAAATTATTTTGATTAAAGAACATTGCTTTAAAGTAACTAGTTTCTTTTTTTTTGTTTAATACCAAAATCCTGCATTATTTTCCGGACAACCCAATAAATGTGTTGCTCTAAAAACGTCCACTGATCTAATGATGTTCCCTCAATTCTTTGAAAAAATTGTACTCAATCTCTATATAAACCCCTCTCCCTTCTATTTAAGAAATCCTTGGACTTGGTTATGGAACCAGAGCATTGGAAAGGAGCATACATTGTTCCTAACCTAAATGCAAGCCAAAGGTTCTTGAGTCTATTATTACAGACCTTTCTATACAACTGACTATGCTCTGATGCTCTTGTGTAAGCTCAAAAGTGTCTTGTGGAAATTTTTGGCTTGGATTAGATCCTAAGTCTCCAATAGAAAATCTTAAGGTAAAGTTTAGAAGTAGACTTTCCAGAACCATTGAGCAACATCTGGTGTCCCCAAGGGATGGTTAGGGAATTCTATCCTGTGACCCCTCCCAACCCTTGGTTGCAAGGGGGGTATCCGGGCACAAAATAAAGGTGCAGCCCAGAGGGCGTGACAACCTCTCTAAAGCACAAGCTGTACTCGTGTCGGCCTAGGGTCAGCATGGGCGGCCGGGTGCCTTAGCAGAGTCACACGTGGGCCAGTGCACTAGATCCTGTCTGCACAGACGGGGGAGGGTGTATGGCCATCTGTACCACAGGGTAACTTAAATGTTTCAAATCAGCCCAAGTTACATTGGGAACAGATTCGTAGTGGTACGTGGTGACGCCCCTGGCGGGAACTTAGACAGAGGCTGTCTTCTATCTGTGACCTTCGTGAACCTTGCGTATGGCCAGCATTATTACCCCTGGCCTCATGGAGACGTTGTGACCGGACGACAGCGTGTAAGTGTTGAAGACACGATGATTATGCTGAATAGTCCCTCGAATGCGTGAGTAAGCGAACGGAAACGGGTAGTGAATCGGTTTCTCTGACTCGAGTATGCTTTGCATTGTGCGTATGACCGGCGTGGTACCCTTGGGGAAGCGAAGGATCGGACCATCTAGGCTGAGCCTATGGCATCCCTCGAATGCACATGGCAGGTGTAGGCTGAGCTCGAATAAGAGACTTTTACCATAGGCGGTGCTCATCTAGGGTGTGGTTAGCAATTCCACTTCAACTAAACCGCTGCCGGGGCGGGGTGTTCCTGGAAGTTTCCCTATACTCAGGGAGATAGAGTGGCCTTCTCTTTCTAGGGAGTACGCAGGAGAACAGGCTGGTGTATTTTGGCCTGTTAGCGCCTCTACACCAATGCTGTGGCTGTAACACTATTCCGTCGTATGCGGAGGTGCGTCAGCTCTCATCTTGAGAATCAAAATGCCCGATAAGGTTGAAAAGGCTAGGTGCGGACGCTAAAGATCCTCTTGTCTTGTTGACGATGAGTTCTTGGGAACGAACTGTCCCCAAGGATCTTTCTTTGGACCAATTTCATTTTTAATTTTCATCAAACATGAACTCTTGTTTCAAAGATTCAAAATTTCTGCTATTGGCAAAAGATATAAAAGTTTTCACCATTATCAATAATTTTGAGGGAAATGTGTGATTGCAGGAGGATTTGAGTAGGTTTATCTCTTGTTGTCTGATGAATGAACTTTCTCTTAGTGTTGACAAATGTCAGTTCATATTGTTTTATAGGAGAAAACATCCTTATCACTCTTTATCGGGTTCACAATTGAGTGTAGTGTCTTAAGATTAGAATCTTAGGAGTAATTTTGAATCTAATTTAATTTAATTCTAGCCAAGTGTGATAGAAGCATGGTGTCCCGAGAAATACTTCAGGTTTCCAAAATATTATTGTGTTAAAACATCTATATTTTGAATTTGAGTATGAAAAATGGTTGAAACTGTTCACAATGTTCTCCCTTCAGGATCGCTCTCTGTTGATGGGGTCCATTATCATTGGAAAAATGATAAACAGCCATTGCTCCTATCCAAAACTTCTTCATCAGATCTCCAGTCACAAATCTCCATGCCCCTACTCACACATGTCAACGACACAATTTTTACACCTAATTTCATAGAAGTAATTACAGTAAATTACAGGACTTACCTACACCTGTAATGAAATCTGTGATGTGCATAATCTGATTATAGTATATGATATATTTGGATCCTCTTTTAATGTGTTCAAAAATGAAATTTGTAAAAACTTGTCCTCATAATTAAAATTAAGTTGGTTAATTTTGTTACACCGTATTTCTTAATTTTAGATGTAATATGAATGTACTTGTTAGAGGGTCATCACCGTTTAATGTGCTACCAACAAATAGATAATTTAAACCATTTAATTATATGCATGTGATAAACAGCCATTACTCCTATCCACAACTTCTTAGTCAGATGAATGGGTTATATCATTCATGGGATTTTATTTGTTTCAGACTATGTGCCCTGTGTGCATGGATCGTCTGAAGAACATTATATTCCTCTGTGGACATGGTACTTGCCAGCTTTGCAGTGATAGAATAATGAATGAATGCCCAATTTGCAGAAAGGAAGTTGAAAAAAGAATTCTTCTATACTAGTTTTATTTTATTTCTACTTTTGTCTAACACCTTTTATTTTTATTCATTGTTCATTTATCATACCATTTAATCCCTCTCCCTCTTTATGTAGTATTTCATTATCATTGTAATATTGGGTTGAATCAATAAAAATGAATGAATGTTTTTAATTTTAACATTCCTTATTTTTTAAACCTTTTTATGCCTTCCTATGTAACTGAAATTGATGTAATAAATAATATTTTAGATACCAAAGTACACTATTTGTGCTACTGAAAATAGCAAAGAGTGCTATTTCTGTGGTGACTAAATCTGTTTCATGAAATAAATAACTTTTTACGTTTTTTGACATTTCTTAACTTAAACAGAACTCTTAACTGGTCATCATTTGAAAATTTTCAATTTTCGGAGCACACAGTCTTGAAACACCTAAAATTGGTATATGATGAGTACAGGCCAAGTCTTTCCAGGCTCCATAAAGTGTTCCTAAGGAACATATTGTAAGCCACTCCCTGTCTTAGAATAAATTATAGTTATTAAAGTGAGATCACAAAAAATTAGTTTAAATGACAGACAAAAAGAGCTGAAAATCAGAAGGGGTGAACACCCAGACAGGAACAATGTGACATCTCCTACCAATCTGGGAAACATAACTCTCTATTAAGCAGTTGGTCAAGGATGTCACAGCACAGATGGGAGAGATGTTCTTCTCAAACCAGGGTAAAATAGCCCTGCAATAATTACACAGTTGGTCAAATAAATAAGATTGTTGAAGGGTGTCGCAGGGAGCCAAGGGGGGTTTCCCACAAACCTGGAAAACAAAGTTGCAATAGCTGGACAACTGATCAAATAAATAACTAATTACAATTAATTAAGGTTTTTAGTTGAGATAAAAAAGTCAATGGCACGAGTGGAATTCGAACCCACGATCTTCGGCTAGATACGCCACTGCTCTACCACTTGAGCTATCGTGACCTCGATCCACTCGTACACCAACTTCCCATCTCAACCCCACCTTTTGAATTTACCCTCCTTTTTGCCATTTTTCAAAAGGAGGGTAAATTCAAAAGGTGGGGATGAGATGGGAAGTTGGTGTGTGGATCGAGGTCACGATAGCTCAAGTCGTAGAGCAGTGGCGTATCTAGCCGTAGATCGTGGGTTCGAATCCCGCTCGTGCCAGTGACTTTTTTATCTCAACTAAAAACCTTAATTAATTGTAAAATTAATTGGTCAACGGACCACGAAATTAGTGAATTTAAATAACTAATGTCGGATTATTTAGTGCTGAATGGGTGACAGAAAGCCAAAAATACGTAGTGACATGGTTCAGTGAAAATTGGGGTTGTATCATCCAGGTGAGCGATACCCGTCTCCGCTGGTCCACCCGCGGGATGGGAACTGCTCTGACTTTTGATTTTCTTTTCCACCCCTATCTGATAGAAAAACTGGTATAAAAAGGGATGAATACCAAAAGTCAGTCACAACCAAGGGCTCAAACCAGTCAGTGAATAGTCGACTCCAGAAGTCAATCCAGAAGAGAAGCAGGCACACTCAGTCTGGATCTCAACAAGGGGATCAGCCAGCAAGGACCAGCAGTTGCGACTCATCAGATCAGGTCAGCTGTCAGGAAACAGAAAAGGCACTGGGATGTTGTGGACAATAATCGTGGCGAGCTTTGGGGCTAAGTCCCTTTGTTAATAGACTCATCTCAGATTTAGAATTGTGGCTGGATAATTAGATTAATTGAGATTTTGTTGTGGTTTGTGTACTTTAAAAGATGAAATGTGTTAAAATAAATGTTGAAGAATATATTCTCTGGTTTATTAAATTTTAGAACCTCACCTTCCCCTATGCAAGAATAAGTAGCTAACTAGAGTTAGTTGTTAAAACTTACTATTTATTTGTTGTAGTTTATTCTTCAGGTGTAAATGTCCAATGGATGAGAGAGAAAAAGTAGAAAAAGTACCTAAAGAATTTTTCCGCCTCATCATGCTTTCTTTGCAATTCTCACTTCACAAAGCCTATTTATTTTTAAAATGTTTAATAAATTACTTTACAAGACTCTGGAAGCATATACAATTATTGAAAAGCTCACCACCCAAGCTCTGGGCAAAATTCATTCACAAATGGTGCAATTAGAGGGACTGTCTCCACCAGCTTTATTATTGACAATTAAATTTTAAAAAGACAATGCAAGGAATTATAAATTCAGTTGTATTCTTGAAAAAATAGTGTATATGTCAATGTCCCATTGTAATGTGTGTTTCTTAGTTCACAATTCTTAGTTCTGTGTTAGTTTCACAATTTATTTAGGTCCTTTTACATTTTTTGCAGAGTTCCTACCTTTATTCGGGTCATCTTCAGGGCCTGGGTAAATTACGTATGTTAAATTACAATATGTTGATTGGAAAAAACAGATTGGTACCAAAAACCAATGAACACTGATCGCTACCTCAATTATACATCACACTACCCCCACATACAATATTAAACCCAGCTAAAGGATTATTACACAGAACCATATCTCTAAGTCATGAATCCTTTCACCTAAAAAATGTCCAAACATACAAACATCTTACATAACAATAACTACCCCAAAAACATAATCAACAGAACCATAAACAATTATAACCCAGCACTACACAAAACAACATCCTCCACAGTACCCAACACATCATCAATCATACAAAAACAAACCAATATACATGTCCATTCCATTTATCCACACATTGTCACGCAAATTAAGTATATTTCTCTCCTCAGAACACATTAAAATAGCTTTTAAAAATCGTAAAACATACACACACTTTTTTCCTAAGTCAAAGACCCAACACCAACAGCCTACAAATCCGATGTAATTTATAAAATTAATTGTATGAACTGTCCAGCAAGATCTATTGGAATTACATCGCAATATCTAGACAAACGGAAAAAACAACACATCTATGACTGCAAAACACCAAAAACCAATCCCACAGCATTGCCACAAAACCAATCCCAAACAACATAGCTTTGATTTCGACGAAATACAAATACTAAACACAGAAAACAACAAATACAAATGCAACATTCTAGAAATGGTTTACGTAAACAGAACAGATATATGCAAACTCAGCCATAGCTACACCACATCATAAAGCAAATAAACCAATAAACCTTAATTTTATTTTTCCCTTTCCTTTGTTTATCATCCTTAATAATTAACTTCCTTTCCAATGATTATTTGGAGATCGTGAGGTGCGGTCTGGACCCTGGATTCAGAAATCTCCACATAGTCATTGGCCAACGGTCACTAAACACCACACATTCCTTTCCAAAATTGAATGTCGAATCACAAATCCAATCCAGAAAATCTCCATTCCTGACTTCCTTTGAGTTAAATAAAACTGCCAATGACCAAAGAAAATTTCTCAGATTTATTGCAACCCTAACCCTGTCATACAAAAACAGTAGAATTCAAATTCATGTTTCACAATTTCACATAAAATCAATATGGCACCACAAGAATAGCACCACACTTTATGTGCATATGAAATACTTAGTCAAAATTTATATTTACATCTTAACTTGTATTTTTTCCAATCTACATGTTTTGTAATTTACCCAGGCTCTGAAGATGACCCGAATAAAGGTTGAAACGCACCCAAAAAAGAAAAAGGTGTTTTTCTAAACTACCTCATTCTTGGCCACTTAGCATGACATCAAAAAATGATTCCATTGTAAATTTTATTCACCAGTTGATTGGTAGATCCCATAAATCAATATTTGAAACTATTGTTAAATTAGTTAAATATTTCTCAGACATTTAATAATTATAACTATTAAAGTAAAATTATAATATTTGTAATAGACACTTACAGAGAAGAGGTGAAGTCCTGACTCTAGCTTCAACCGACCATTCGAAGGGCAGAAAAAATGTCAGTGATGCAAAGACACTACCATGGAAATAAAAATTATAACATGCTAAATTAACGATTATTTAACAATTAGAAGTAAAAAACTAAAGCTCTATACTAAATAATTTAATCAGGGGAAATTGATACCTCATTCCATCAATGCCAGTTTGATTAACATTCTTCCCACAGTTTAAAACATCATTTCAAAAATAATTAGGCCAAATAAATTTTAAAAAGTTCTTCGATATACGTTTAATGTTTTGTTTTTTAAACATTGATCAATACTCTTGATTCCTTAGAGAATGATTCATGCATTAATTATAATTAGTAGGCAGTACAGAGTTACCGCCATTTCCCCTCATTACGCCCCCGACGGTGATCCAGTGAACACCACAGATTTTAATTCTATAAACAGGTATGTTTTAGTTTTACATTTTTTAAATTTAAAATAATATCGGTTTGTATTTTCTATTAAATTTCGCTCTAAAAAGTGAATTGATCTGCTTTCAGTTCATATAAACGTGTAATATAACTGATTATTTAAAGATCGTGAGAAGCGGTCTGGTGTGATGTAGGTTAGAAAAGCATTTTCTTTGTCGTACGATATTTCATCTTTATTGAGATCATCTTCAGGGTCTGGCATTGTTTAAATTATACAAATAAATATAACATATGAATATGAATTTTAAAAAATGATGTTCAATAGAAAGTAATGGGTTTAATCAAAGTATTTGTACTCACCCAAAGTGATTGTGTTCTGTATAGTCGTCAGTTATATGTATGTTATTGGTATTGAATTTGATTTGCGATATTAACGTAGCTTTTTTTAAACGAAGGTATTTCAAAACAAGGTTATATGAACTCTCGGGTGCCGGCGGTTTAGAAACAAATTCCCATTTTTAACTAAGAAGTAAGAAGGGTTCGAATGAGGGCCGACGGATTCGAACACGGGACCTTAACCTTAGTGATGAGACCCTGCTCAACGCCTGAACCGTGCGGCTACCGACGCGCCTCGACTCCAATGAAAACCTTGAATATTGGGTTATAGGTCCTGTAACAAATTCCTTTCATCTTTTAGCTTTTTTTGTGAGGTTAAGTGGTAGAATTTCGACAAATCTCTCAAAAAATGGATATTTTTCTTCTGTAAAGGGAATTTCGATTATTGTATTGTTTTCATTTGGACACTCGCCAAATCAAGGTGAAGACACCCAATTTGTCAATAATATAAAATATTGTATGAAAACGTAAATTGTGAATTGTTTTATTTGTTTGTTTGTTTGACCTTCAATTGTACGATGATAGAAAACGTACACTCAAAAAACTTTTCATTGATTCACACAAAGCGGGTCTGGTCGAGTTGCAAAATAAACCGTCCTAATAGAACTGAATTTGTCAGTCGTTTGTTAAAAACAATAAAATAAAATAAAAAATCTAAGTATCTTAGGCGAAGGCTGTATATCGTTGGGAAAGTAGTAGGACCGCCAACGATCACCGAAGTTAAGCAGCATCGGGAGTGGGTTAGTACCTGGATGGGTGACCGCTTGGGAACACCGCGTGCTGTTGGCATCTTTTTTTTTTCCTTTTTTCAATATTTGTTATTAAACAATACACACACATTCGATTAAGTTAAGAACATTTTTTATTAGAAGAAGAGAACCAATTNCAAGTGGTAGAGCAGCGGCGTATCTAGCCGAAGATCGTGGGTTCGAATCCCGCTCGTGCCATTGACTTTTTTATCTCAACTAAAAACCTTAATTAATTGTAGTAAATTTAATATTAAGAACACTAAAGGAAGTAGCATGAGGTCATCAAGTATCACGCTATCCAAACAATAACTGCTTCATCAATCCTTCATCCTCACGATTGTTTGGAAACTAATTACACCGAACTTTACATAAGTGGATAGCATTATTTAAATATTTTCAGAACCATCGTTTCTAGTAGGTTCTCTAACTCTTATCCATAATATTTATAATAGTCTGCTGTACTCGTAACTGGGAGTTGTTTTTTCCGGTAATTTTGGTCTGTCAGAAGCGTTTCGGCATCCCGTCATCTTCAGTAATGAGTTAGTTTGTTAAGCTCATTTCAGATTACCTCCTAAGCCAAGAAAATTTGTTTTTACATTTGCCGAATATTTTTGTTAAGAATTTAATTCTGCGTCGTGTTAGGTTACCTAAAAGTCTTAGATTTTTCATCGATGTTTTAATGTAGTGCAAGGACCTACATAGGAGTAAATAATCACAGTTTTAAATATGTTGATCTTTTATCTTCCATCTGGTAAACAAAACTTTATTCTTTAGATTTTTGGCAATTGCACTAATCCTCCAGTAGGAATAGTTTATAGTGCCAATTGTCAGAATTTAGGTTTCAGTAGCGCGTTTAAAAAATGCAACACAAAATAGAACCAGAGTTGAGCTTTGAGGGACTCCTTTGATAATTGAAAGAAGAAGAAAACGCTATCTAGGAAAAGGGTGATGACCATCTGTGGTTACCAAGTTATCCACTAGGTATCGTCACCGTTTCGACAATGGTCCCGCTACACACTGCAGCTAATGAGCCTGCAGCAAGTCTGCATTTTAAAGGACCTAACGTGTTTATTACAGACTCATCGACAAGGTTGTGCTCGGAGTATCTTTTGCACACTCTACATCCAACGTGTCTCCCTCCTGAACGTGTCCCTTAACTCGTTACCGAATCTACCGACTCCCCAAGCATCACCCGTCAACCGGCTATTTAGCTCACCATGATTCGTCCGTACGCTTGACCCAGGGCCATCAAAAACGCCTGGCTATTAAATTATCTTGCCATACGGAGGTCTAGACAGTTGTACAAGACATGTGATGACACCCTAGCTAGCTTGCATATTATATTGATGACATCTAGTTTATGACATCTAAAGTCAGTAATAAAATCTGAAGGATATAGGGATACAATATGTACAATAGATACACCAAACTTGGGAGACCAACAACGAATGGCAACTCTCCTCAAGACATATCAGTGTATAATGTAAATAACCTCAAATTACGAGATGTATATTTTAATACAGGTAATAAAAAAAGACCCCACTTTCAAGTAACAGACGTTTGCTCACCAAAATTATTGGATCGTTCAGTTTAAATTGAATAGATGGTTAGGGATGCCATACTAGTAAATACTATAAGGAAATGTTCGTATTAAGGATAGTAAAATAAAAAACCATTACTTTAAAAAAATAAAATTATTTAATAAATTATACATACATATGTACAAACTAGTTCCATGGAAACAAGCTTAATAAAAATAATAATATAAAAAAAATGAAATGGAATGACAGTCTTTTAAGAACTTAAAGAAATTAAACTAGACAAGACGATTTGAGTAATTAATCAACTTCTTCTACAGTAGGTCCAGTATTGAACCTTTGCCCTGCTTGTTGTCCGCAATTGGTGAAGTTGGGAGCTTGTTGTCCTCCGTGCATTTTGGTCATGTAAGGAGTGCATTCGCTTTGCAACTCTTTCAATTTATGTTCGTATTCCTCTTTGTCGGCGAGGGAGTTGCTGTCCAGCCAGCGGATGACATCTTCGCATTTTGACTTGATGGTGTCTTTGTCCGATTGGCTGAGCTTGTCGCCGGCATCTTCGACGGCTTGTTTGACGTTGAAGACATAGGCTTCGAGTTGATTCCTGGCGGCGATCCTCTCTCTCTGAGCGTCGTCTTCCTTCTTGTACTTCTCGGCATCATTGACCATCCTGTCGATTTCCTCTTTCGAGAGTCTCCCTTTGTCGTTTTTGATGACAATGTTTTTAGACTTTCCTGTGCTGTTCTCTTTGGCCGAGACGTTCAATATACCGTTGGCGTCTAGGTCGAATGTGACATCGATTTGAGGCACCCCTCTGGGAGCAGGCGGTATCCCCGTCAGGTCGAAAGTGCCCAAGAGGTTGTTGTCTTTGGTCATCGCCCTCTCTCCTTCAAACACCTGGATCGTAACAGCCGGCTGGTTATCAGAGTACGTCGAGAACGTCTGAGACTGTTTACATGGGATTCTGGCGTTTCTTTCGATTATCTTGGTCATGACTCCGCCGGCTGTTTCTATGCCGAGAGAGAGCGGAGTCACATCGACAAGCAGCACGTCTTGTATCTGAGAGCTCTGGTCTCCACTGAGAATAGCAGCTTGGACAGCGGCACCGTAAGCCACTGCTTCATCGGGATTGATGGACATGTTCAAAGGTTTTCCATTGAAGAACTGTTGCAAAAGGGTCTGGATCTTGGGTATCCTCGTCGAACCTCCGACGAGCACTACGTCGTGGATAGAACCCTTGTCCAATTTGGCGTCACAGAGGGCTTTTTCTACAGGTTGGAGTGTAGATCTGAAAAGGTCCGAACAGAGTTCTTCGAATCTGGCCCGAGTGACTTTCGTGTAGAAATCTATGCCATCGAACAGAGCGTCGATTTCTATGGAAGCTTCTGTACTGGAGGACAATGTCCTTTTAGCTCGTTCGGCCGCCGTCCTCAACCTCCTCAAAGCCCTGGGATTGGATTTGATGTCTTTTTTATACTTCCTCTTGAATTCTTCTACCAGATGGTTAACCAATCGGTTGTCGAAGTCTTCTCCTCCTAGATGGGTGTCCCCGGCGGTAGAACGTACTTCGAAAAGGGACCCTTCGTCGATCGTCAATATTGAAACGTCGAAGGTTCCACCTCCCAAGTCGAATATCAACACGTTTCTTTCACCTTTCAGGTTCTTGTCCAAACCGTAAGCCAAGGCTGCTGCTGTCGGTTCGTTGATTATCCTCAATACGTTCAGTCCGGCGATGGCGCCCGCATCCTTGGTCGCCTGTCTCTGAGAATCGTTGAAGTAAGCAGGGACCGTGATAACAGCGTCTTTCACCTTCTGACCCAAGTAAGCTTCCGCCGTTTCCTTCATTTTCACCAAGACCATCGAGCTGATTTCTTCAGGAGCGAAACGTTTGCATTCTCCTTTAAATTCCACTTGTATCTTCGGCTTGGAACAATCGTCGACCACTTTGAAAGGCCAGTGTTTCATGTCCTCTCGAATCTTGGGGTCATCGTATTTCCTTCCAATCAACCTTTTGGCATCGAATACGGAATTCTGAGGATTCATCGCTACCTGATTTTTAGCAGCGTCACCTATGAGCCTCTCCGTATCCGTAAAAGCCACATAACTGGGTGTCGTCCTGTTCCCTTGGTCGTTGGCGATAATCTCAACTTTTCCTTGTTGCCAAACGCCGACGCAAGAGTAGGTCGTTCCGAGATCGATTCCAATAGCAGGCATCTTCAAAGATCTTTTCAAACACAGAATACAAATAAATAGTTGAAACGAGCTGGTAGCTCTGAAGTAGGTATGTTATATCAATCGTTTTCGAATATAGACTGACCCGACTCTCAGGGTCTTCCGGTTTATAAAACGGCGCCGAACTTTCTCGTCCGATCTAGACCATTCCAATTCATCCCATTGGTTGGCTCGCGCCCCTCTCTACCGATTCTCAACTCGACCGTTCTAGACACGAACGTTCTAGACTCGCCTCCATTCATTCCAGGCAGTTGATTATTTTTATTTTTATTAAAAGAATCAAATTTCATATATATACAACATATCGTACTGTAGAAACTATACCTACAAACAATCGCAACATTTTTTTTTGCTCACTTTAACAAATTTTGGTCGCAGGCAAAGTGTTGCGGTTTAATCTAACCAAATTTTTTTATTGACTTAAAAAACTGTTACCTTTCCTGGAAAATGTGTTACAAGAATTTTTAAAATTGGATCAATAGAAGTTAGTTTAAAAATTATTGAATTAAGAATTCCTATTCCAGGAGCAAGCGCCATTTCTTATAAAAAGAAAAGGCCCAAAAGTTTTGGTTTTCGGGCCAAAACAATGCAAACAGGTTCACAATTAGGCAGAATTGTCTTTCCGAAAGATTCATCATAGTAGAATCGATAGGAAATGCGAAATAACGAAAAAACGTCACTTTTGGGGAACTTAGAAAAACAGCCGCCCTGAAGAATAAGAGTTTTTGATATAAAAGGAACAAAATCTGCCAACCCGTTTAAGATGTGCTTTTCAATTTTTTATGCGGTAACATAAAAGTTCTTTAAACACTTCTATGAGAGCTTTTCCGAAAATAACAATTTCATTTTGACAAAGAAATTCTTAAATATTAGAAAAATGTGTTCGAAAGTTTCCTTGCTGTATATGTTTTTCAGGCAAAAAGTTTCAATAAAGCTTGGGTTAAACTTGAGGGAAATACTAAAGAAACATGAGTACCAAATTTCACCAAAAATGGTTCAGTAGTTAATGAGAAAATGTCCATTTTAGGTTTCCCTTCTTCCCCCTTTAACCTTGTAAATACTACCCGCAACACTTCTTAATTTAAACATTTAACATATTCCTAATTGATAATTATACTTTCGCACGGAACCTTATATATACCTGGTTCTTTTCATACGGACTAGTAATTTTTATTGATTTGATTCATTTATTGGTTCTATTGCGACTAGTCTCGAATAATTTCTTCCCAAGGTGGTCATCTCCTCCACTCTTATGTTTATTTAATATTTTCATCAACGACCTTCCTTCTATGCTGAATGCAACTCCTCTTCTCTCTCCTGATGACTTAAAATTTTTGATGCCTAACATTTGTAAAGATGACTGCTTACTCCTCCAATCTGACTTGACTGCTCTATAACACTGGTCTATTGCCAAACCACCTGTTTCTTAATACTGAAAAATGCTTTCCTAGAATGGAGGAGATGGGCACCTTGGGAAGTTATTATTTGAGACTGCTAAATCAATAAAAATTACTAGTCCGTATGAAAAGAACCCGGTAGACATCAGGAACCATACAAAAGTATAATTATCAATTAGGAACATGTTAAATGTTTAAATTAATACAGTGAGTAAAAAAATGTTGTGATTATTTGTATGTTTGGTTTATACAGTACGATGTGTTATGTTGATTTGATTTGATTCTTGAAATAAAAATAAGAAATTTGATTCTTTTAATAAAAATAAAAAGTAATCAACCACCTGGAAAGAATGGAGGCGAGAAGTAGGCGAGTCTAGATCTAGAACGTTCGAGTCGAGACGAACGTTGGAGTCTAGAATGTTCGAGTCGAGAATACGATTTAAACGGATTTTTTATTCTGAAAATTATGGTGCAATTGGATTTTAAATATATATATATATATATATATATATANTTTATTCTATGAGTAAATAAATGATTGTCCGGTTTATGGTGAATTTTTTTTTTTTTTTTTTTTCCAAACCTGACTAAGTTTCTGAAAATAACTTTATAGCCAAACTAACGAATTTCGGATCTCGTTTATTCTGGGTACACATAATAAGTCCGTTGTAATCGATATAACGTATATAATTTGAAATAAAAAACAAAATACGAGTCCGTTTGTATTATTTTTTTCATTTTTTTAATTAATTAATTTATTAATTTTTTTTTAGTCTTTGCTTTGCATGCAAACAAACGGGAAATGAGTTAAAAATGATTATAACAATAATTTTTTTTTTCCCCACTAAGAAAGGGATCGATTTATTGTGTGAACTTTTGTGCCTTTCGGCCGTTAGATCGTATCGGTATTAAGGATTTGATTGAAGAGGACAAAAACAACATAAAACGTCAGATTTAAGAGATAAAAAAAAATTTATTAAATAAATTATATGTACAAGAATGCTATGTACAAGTTCGTTCCATGGAATAACAAGCGTAATATGTACATGAAATAGAAATTCATTTAAATCTGTCTTTTAGAACTTGGGAGTAGAAATCTATCTATGAGAGATTTTTGTTCCCATATTTTAAATAAACGATCACACAATTGTGTTGTATTGTTTATTTCAAACCATAAGTATGTATTTTTATTATATATTACATAATTTTCTAATCAATACCGGTTAAATTGAATTTTTTTAAATTGTCTTCTCATTTGTTAGTGGGAATGAATAAGTAATGTCTGTTTGGGAGCAATACTGAATGTTCTTCAGCCTATATCTTCATTTTTCCCATTTTCATTTTTCATTTACTTTTCCATACCGAAGAACACCAATTTTGTAAGGATGAGCTAGATTATCGACCTGCTGGAAACATGAAGTCTTTTCGGGGGATCTATGGTCGGATTTTTAGACTTTTATGAGGTAACCTTTCTCGACCACGTTTTTAATTTTTAATTTTTATTGTATTTTTAGTTGTAATTTTTAATTATTAATTTATTCAATTTAAATAATGTTTAGATGTTGAGCCCCAAAAAACGTAATGTACTTCTGTGCCCAAAACACCATGTCGTTTATTTCCCCATTAAGGTTTAAGTAAGATATTTCAATTTTTGTGCAATTTGTTTTTCATGTTTTGTTTTTTATATGATAATAAAACAGGCCCTGAAGATGACAGTATAAAAACTGTCGAAAGCTCGGCGAAAACCGAAAGGAAGTTTTCTCTGTGTTTGACCTCTTCCGTAGATCCTCCGAAAAGACTTCAAAACACCAATTTTGTTAAAAAATTATATTGTAATATGCCTAAGATTTTATTGGAGATTTCTTGAAAGATGTATTAAATTGTATTATAACTTTTCTTTTTCTCATTATCTTTTTTGCTTGAATAATTTTTGACCTGCTATTCATTGATGTTATTTATTATTAATTTTTTTGCAATGGTAGTTATATCAAATTTATCAAAATCAAATAGTCTGCAATTGTGGGTAAATGAATGTTTAATCGTTTAATCTTTATATCTACCGTCTACCTACCATAGTTGAACATTTAAGCATACACACAACTTCATATTAATATAATATAAAAAATATTATATTAACAATATATGAATATTCAAAAAACAATTTCTTTTATACAAGTTTTTAATTAATATAGGATGGGACGTTGCTGTTTTGGAGTTTAACTTTTTTTCCTGATCGTAATTCTCGTATATTTTCTTCTATTGGAAGTGTTTCATTACTAATACTCAACCTTTTTATAATAAAACTATTTTGATTTCTAGAATTTTGGGATGTATTTGGTGGACTGGGTGTGTTTGAGTTGTGCCCGTCCTTTTCTGTCCTGCCTTGGTTTGTGGCTCGTTTCCTTCTCATCCTGTGCTTCAGTTTTTGAACTTTCATGTTCTCATTGCTCGAAATGATAAAATTATGAATTAAAGAATCATTCCCTTTCTGAAAGTCTCGCAAATTTGAGTAAATTTTATGTTTTTTATTCATTGCGATTAGGTTTTGTGGTGTATCCCTGTTTAATTGTTCCCTCCATGCCAATGCCCGGTAAGGATACTTTTCAGCCCATGTCATCTGCTGCCATACGTATGAACCAATCAAAGCCACCTGCAAAACATGTTTAGTAGGAAAATGTCTTACTTCCTATTAAACCACATTGATTCTTCCAAATATTAACTATTTTAATGCTTGTGAACTCACTACTGAAGGCTTAATTCCGTTATACTGTGCTTTGCATCTTAGGTCTGACAAAAGGTTCAAGAAGCTGTGAGGTGTAGGCTTGGCTAGCTTTGTGGAAGTGGACAGTTTCCGTTGGGCATTTACCCTCAACATTACTTTACAACACATATGTAGAACTTTTGGTTTTTAAGTATGTAAGACATGCATACTTACACATTCTTGAAAGCTTTTCAAAGAAACTTGACTTCGATGTTGACGCACCCATATCTCTGAAGTATTACGTGGTTATACCTTTAAACTGTTAATTTCGTTGGCCAGAAAAAATATTTTCTGTAAAATTTATGTTGAAACATGTGTTATTATTGTTAATTTTCAACATCTCAGTTTGTACCAAATCATTAATGGTACGATACTTTAATCATTTATACATGCTTACAATGTAATTAACTGTGGTTTCATCAGGAATAGTGGGCCATAGTTGTTGGCATCTGTATTTGCCATAGTGGGTTAGAAAATATGTTTTAAACAATAAATTTTTTAGGCAGTTGTAATTAAACAAGTAATAAAACAACTCGACCCAAAATGTACTCATACATAACTATAAATCAAATATATCTATTATGCTACAATGTTGACATGGTATCTTATTTCTAGTATCATGAATTTGGTATTATGAATGTTTGTACCTTTGTATTTCAAAATTTTAAAAGAATATAATTTTTATAAATATGTGTACATTTATATTGTTACTGTAGTGTGATGGAAAAATTATATAGTGAGGATTCTTTAGGCCTGCAAGGTGAACTTTTACTTCTGGCTTTCAAAGGTCGAAATTATTCTTATATGTGTGGTGATTAGTGACCATTAGTCGATAATTATTCAGAAATCGTGAGATGCAGTCTGGTGTGATGTAGGTTTCAAAAACATTTTCTTTATCGTGCCAGAATGGCATAATTACACAGAAAACAAACACTTTGAGCCCTGAAGGTGATTTCAATAGATCGAAATGTTGGCACGATAAAGAAAATTTTTTCTGAAACCTACATCACACCAGACCGCATCTCACGATTTTTGAATAATTATTCTTATAGTAACATGTAAAAAAAGGATAAATATCCTCTGACAATAAGGGAAGTTTACATCAAATGGAAAATGGTCTAAATATTGAAATATTACATGAGAAAATGGATTTAAATATCAACCCAAAGAAAACATCTCTCATACCCTTCACAAGAAGAAGAAATCTAAACCTGAGCCATACCTTTTCCAAATAAACTAAGTATCTAGGTATACCCATGACCAAAGGCCCGAGTGGAGGAGTCATGTAGGCAATGTACTACATAAGGCCAAGTCACTACTAATTATTGGTAAGAGATCAAAATTGGGGAATAAACCCCAGGATGGAGTGGAGTATTGGTTATATATCATAACAGTCAAACCGCAAAGGTCCAGCTTCAGGTTTTTGGTCAGCACCATATGCGACCAAAACCATTGTATCAGGAGGCACAAAATCAACTGCAATGTTTATAATGCCTAACATGTACATATCAAGGCTTATTTGTCACATCAGCGATGGAAACCGCACTGTCTCCCACCTTTACACATTCATATGCAAAAGGTGGCTTTGAGTGCCACAGACTCCTGAGATTCCTTATGGAGAAGCCAACACAAAATTCCAGAAAGATCAAATGAGAGGAAAACTCAAATTTGACAGACGCTTCCAAGAGGTCATAGACAACAGAATCTTTGAAGTTTCAAGAAGGAGCTTAATATGGTTTACCAATGGTTCAAAGATGGAATAAAAGGATGGGAAAAGGGGTTGAAACAAGGCCAAGCAAAACTGCTTCAACTGTTTCCAATTATTCCAAGCTGAAGTTCATGAAATCCAATCGTGCGCACAGTTGATAAAAAAGAAAATGAGAGGAGCACGGAAGTACTACTTTTTGATAGTCTGGCAGCTAAACTGGCACTTAATGCTTATGCTGTTATCTCAAAACTAATCTGGGAGTTCCTAGCTTAATGGCACTAGGAGGACAATACAACAAGCTTACCTTGAGTTGGGTTACATACATTAAAAATTAACAGGCTGACTAATTAACCAAAGATGCCTCTCACCTGTGGGTCCAGACTAGTGAACTAGGTAGTGCACTTAAGTTGAAACTGGAAAAATGGCATGTTAATGAAAAACCCAACCACTGGACAAAAGCACCAGGTAGAAGGCAAACAAAGAGTATGATAATTGAGGGAAGCTAAATCTCTCAAAAGAAGGAAAACAAACTCCTAAAGCGTTCAAGATTTGAGGAAAATTATAAGCTTCTATACCAGTCTTTGCCCTCTTACTATGCACCACCAAAAGATGTCAACATTGTCAAGTAAAATCAGAAATTGGCACATATCCTTTGTGAATGTGATACACTAACCTGCATGCGCTACAGCCTCTTTTTTAAAGGTGGCTCTAGACATGCAGTATTCATTGTTTGCTGCTTAACATTTTCCAAGTCTCAATATGCTCGTATCAGCATTCACCAAATAGCATGTCTATGTATATACACATGTGGAGTTAGTACAACCAACCAGTTTATGCAGAAACAACAAATACGTACTTGCCAAGTGCTGTGTGAGTCTTCAATGTACTACCAATCAATTGTGAAATCGATGTAGACAAGGAACCAACAATTAGCCAACCACCAAATATTGTTGCTCAGTGAATAACTGAGCACCCATCCCCACTAGTCAGGTGATTCAGCGAACCTTTGCTCAGTATTCGGCGAATCCTGCAGGTCTGGAGTCACCTTAAGACAATTCACACGCCAGAAGTGAGAAATCAAGAAGTACAAGCATCTTTATATGAACAATTTATATACAGGCACTTAACAGAAGGAAGGAAAAAATAAGATAAAAACTTGAGGTTTTATTGAAAATTTGTTGGTAACTCAGTTTAAAAACATTTGGTTCTTTCATCTTCAAAAATACACATTGTTAGAAAAAAATAGAAATAAAAGAAACAAAGGAACGAAATATTGATTTTAGGCACTTAAGTTATTATCGACAATACACAGAAAAAATGAAATAAAACAATATTTTAATAATAACTAGTTTCAACATTCTAAAAACATATTTCTGGAACTTATTTATTTAAATTAAAAGGAAAAGTTATTTATGACATGTCGATCTTAATGTCCATTACACCAATGGTAAACTAATAAGTAGAAAAGTCAAAATAAAATATTTCTAAACAACTCTCCACAAGAAATTTTAAGTCGTTTGAACTAAAATCGTGTTAAAAATTCTTCAATGAGTCGTCGTATCCCTCGGTGCATTTGTATAAAATCCAAAAGGCCCCTGTCTTGCCCATGGCTGTTTGACACATGAGCTGATTGAGAGACTCGCCATGTTGCTCTCAACTTGGAAGACTTGGTTGGCTTGTAGCCCGCATACACTTAAGTCCCTAATTGTAGCCGAATTTATAAACGAATTAATACTACTTGTTGACAGGCCCGATGACCCATCAAGAGACAATATCTCTAGCCTTGGACACAAGTTAACACCCCTAAAATAAGAAAACAATTTAATTAAAAATATTAATATATATTTAATTTAATATACATACTTGACGAGTTCTTGTAATTCAAGATCTGTTGCTTTACAATATGACAGATCAAGAATTGTAAGAGAAGAAGGAGCATTATGCTGAAGGTACATCGCAACTTCACGGATTGTTGTTTCGCTTGTTCCGGCCAGTCTAAGATCTATTATAGATCTAGAGTCAAGCCTTCCGAGCAAATCGATTATCCCTTCATGGCCAATGTTGTTGTAATTGATGTTTAAGACTTCAAGGCAATCTGAAAGAATTTTCAGTATCAGAAGCGTTCAATGTGGGAAAACGGTAAATTGGCATACCTAATGTAAAGCTTTGGAATGATCTGAAGGATTGAGCAGAAAGTCCAACAGATTCGATGCAAAGAGCTGTAAGAGCTGGAATCGTATTTAAAAGCTCCGACAACGGTTTGAGACAGTCATTAAGTGGATTGTAACCAAGATTCAACACTTGCAACCTCTAAAAACCAAGCAAAATAAAAAAGAACTCATGAAAATATTAAAAAACAAAATTACTCTTAGTTTTCGTCGTTACCAATCATTTTAGTCTGCCTATCCTCTCTGGATTGGTTTGTCAGACGGGTTCAGTATTGCACTGTCTGATGTGTCTGTGTAATTCTGTGAAGACAATCGGATTAAGTCTGAGTTTTTGTAATATTCCAGTCTTTGTGATCCTCGGTCCTCCGACTGGGACATAAACTGAAGTCATTTAAGCCACCAAAACCAGAGACAGGCAAAGATAATGCTGACATGACCTTAGAAAAGAGACTGACAGCACAAAATCACACATACACACTGAAGATGGCAAAAGGGTGCAATATGTTTGACAGGCCAACACAGTGAATATAGGCAGACCAAAATAACTAAATTTTCAGGTTCAAAGACAACATGGCGAAATCTCGAAATAAAATTTGACTCACCTGTAATCCTCTATTTTCTTGGATTATCTGCGAAAATATTGAAAGACCCTCTGAAGTGATGTTGATGTTGCTCAAGTCCAAAACACGCAGTTGTGGCAGTTTAACTATACACTCGGCAACGTCCTGACCAAATGTTAGTTTTAATTTAAATAAATTATAACAATATATTTCTCTCTGACTTACCTTTAAGTTTGTATCGGAAATATAATTTCCTGAAAGCTCGAGGCACTGAAGTGGAAGGTGATGGGAGAGAGCTTTGAAAATTGGGCCCAGTTGCTTCCAATCTAAATATAAGTCTTCTAAACTAAGTTTACCTGTAGCTTGGCAGGCTTCTAACAATGTAGAAATTTGTTTATCTTCACCTATAAAGTATTGTATAGTTCTTAGTGCTTAAATATAACAGCAGAATAATTATATTATTATTTCCAATTTTTATGAAAGACAGATGAACAGAAAAATTAGTATCACGAGCAGACTCAAACCGACGACCTTCGGTTAAATTCGCAAGTGCTCTAACCGCTTGAGCCTTCTTGGCCTTGATCGCTTGGGACACAACTCTCAACCGTCTATAATTGAAATTTCCCCTTTACAGCCAATATTCAAACTTCATAGCATCGTTTAGTTTCATTACGATATATGATTAACAATGGGGAATTTTTGATACACGAATAACACCCTTTGATTATATTTATTTAATTATTTATCTGTTTATTATTAATTATTATTTCCAATTTTCATGCAGATGGTTAAGAAGAAAAATTAGTGCCACGAACTGAAGGTTGTGGGTTTGAGTACCACTCATAACACTAATTTTTCTTCTCAACCGTCTGCATAACAATTTATAATTAAGAATAAACAGATAACTAATAAAACATTCACTAGTTTTCGTGGTCCGCTTGACCAATTAATATCTTTCAATTAATTAAGGTTTTTAGTTGAGATAAAATAGTCAATGTCACGAACGGGATTCGAACCCACGATCTTCGGCTAAATACCCGCTGCTCTACCACTTGAGCTATCGTTACCTCGATCCACTCGGACACTAACTTCTAATCTCATGCTGAGAACAAATAGATTACACAACATTTGAAAAATGGCAAAAATGAGATAAAATTCAAAAGGTGGGGTTGAGAAGTTAGTGTCTGAGTGGATCGAGGTCACGATAGCTCAAGTGACACAGCAACGGTGTATCTAGCCGAAGATCGTGAGTTCGAATCCCACTCGTGACACTGACTTTTTTTATCTCAACTAACAACCTTAATTAATTGACTAATACAACAATTATATTATTATTAAAAAACTTACATATATTATTATTTCTACATGTTTCTTCATAAATAGTCGTCAGAGATGGTAAATTCCAAGAGAGAACATTTCCAACTAAATCTCCCATATTCATGACCAACGATATCGGATCAGAGTCTACAAGCAATGCTCCATCTTGCGTCACTAGCCTTAAAACTGGTTCGACACTTTCCAAGCTAAAATATTGATAAATGAATACAAAATTCATACTAATACTTAGTAAAATAATTTAACAAACCTGCGGTATCTTTGTGCTGCTTCGTGCGCGAGCCATGCGACAGTCTTTTCCTCATTTGTGTTCGGAATCGGTACTAAGAGTAGTTTATCTTCAATCTTAACTTTGATGAAGGCCTGTTCAAGTAGAATATAAATAAAACCTGTTATAAATTAATCTTTGATGAATGTTTTATTTTAATTACCACTGATTTTGCATTGGGTTGGTGCAATGGTGATGTACAGGTAGCATCACAGTGTGTATTCGTTTTGATAACTTTTTCTTTTGAAACTCCCGAATCCATTAATGTGAACTGTTTTTTTCTTATTGCATTTCTCTCTTTGAGCCTGCAAATTGTGAAGTGATAAAGCAAATTTTTTATTAAAATCGGCCAATTTTGATCTTACTTGTTACTAAAGCCCCCAGAAGTCGAAGGTGAATTAATATTGACAGGAGAAGGTATCGGAGAATCAGAAGACGGTGAGTCAGGTCTTGCAATTAATTCTATATTGCTGTCATCACCATCACTCTCACCCTCTCCATCGTTAATAGGATTTTCTGAATTATCCGCCTTAAAGATTCATATGAAAATTTACTTTTCAAAACTCAAGTCTATATAAGCAAAATACAAATTATATACCCGTTCCATGTAAAGTGGACTGACAGTACATGCACTCCTTTGATTTGATTCAGATCTTCGTTGAGATTCACCTATGAATTCAGAGGTTCTTCTCTTCTTATTCGGCCTTCCGACATTCATATCGTCTTCTAGCCAGTTGTCATCAGTCGTATCAGACGAGTCTATTAACGCTGGTACACTGGGTTTCTGAAGGACCATAGGGCTGATCTAGAATTTATAAACATTAAAATAGAAAATACAACTTTACAACAAAAAATTTAAATTAGAGAAATAGTGATAAAATAGTAAATAACATAAAAGAAATTGTACATATACAACTTATAGCCTTACAAAAATGCACAATTTAAAAAGTGAACTGTTATTTCAAGTGTGAATTTCAATCTGAACAGTTACAATATAAACACACAATGTGTTGTGAATAATGGGAAATTTTTTCAAGTATTGCTGACTTTTCAAAGTTTACATTATTATCCAGCTTGTCTTAGCTGTTTTGTAATCAATCAACAGTCTATCGATCTTGTAAATTTCAATAAAATACACCAAAAAATTATATTAATTTTTTTTATAGCTTTAGCCAGAGAATGTGATGCTGATTGAATTATATTTTTGGGGAAGAGTAGTGAGAAAGAAAATTCTAAGGGTGACAGTTGGAATTGGACCCATAACCGTGGGATCTACAATATTAAATCCAATTGTACATTTCTATAATTATTATAGAAATTATTAGTTATTACTGATGAGTAATTTTGTATTCTTAAAATAATAAACTTAAGCGCGATTAGGACAATAATAGAATAATACACCCGTAAGATTTTTTTTGTCAGTTTATCATCCCGATCAACTTGGTTTTGCTACAGTTTGACTGTACACTATAGAATTGTGCACTTTTTAGTTTTCTCCCCATTTCCATTCTTTATTCCTTCCCTCAAAGCTGTTATTTTTCTATCTTTTCTTATAAATTAGTTGATTGACATTCATTGATTTCTTATCCTTAATGTAAATGCCATTAAAAGCAGAACTCTCCTAACTGCGATTATAATGCTTGAATCAGTAATAATAGTAATGATGTCAATATGATGTTTATGCCTTATGAACTCATCTATAAGCATACTATTAACTAGGTGACAAACTAAATAGTAACTTTTTTTAAACCTAGGATAAGAAAATTACATACAGCATCATATTATATGAGATTAGGTAAACAAAAAGTTACAAAAATGAAAAGACGCTTAGCAAAAAATTTTAAAAGATTGTTTTCATTTTAAACACTTGTTAAAGCCATTAAATACGAATTTTTATAGCAAACAAAAACAAGACATTTTTAAGCTGGATCAACTGGGAGCAATTTTCCCCAGATGTCTGGTGTTCTTAAAAAATTCATAACTCCTCTGGATAATATCAAATGTCAATGGTAAATCTATAGTTGGAAATTTGTATTTCTCTTCACTGAGTCTATATCAACAACCTTTGGTTTTATGTGATTATAAGTGGGAAAAATAAGAATGAAATCAACAAAAATTCCCTAAATGTTTTATTTTACACGGTTCTGACGGTTTGTGCCAAGGCCTGTCAGAGTTTTAAACTCCCAAAAAATTTCTAATGGATCGGTGCTGTCATTACTTTACAACATTGTGCTTGCACGTAGATTGAGCCTTTTCATGTTTTTAAAAATGTGTTTAAAATTTTTTTAACAAGAAACAAAGTCGTATGTTTTCTACACAGCAAAAAATGTGTGAATACAAATTTTGGGAGTATAAAAAAATTATTCAATCAATTTTTCGCCTTCCAAACAAAATACATAATTATTTTCTGACTGAGCGAAGTAACAAAGAAATGTTACTAATTTACAGGGGTTCAAAGCCTAATATATTACATGAAACGGCATATCATTGGCCTCCATAAATAAATTCAATTTGGAGATATAAACTAAACCATTTGAAAAGTTTTTGTTGATTTCTTCCTTACTTTTTTCACTTATATTAGCATAAGAACAAAAGGTTGTCAACAAAGGCTCATTTGCACAGATTTTCACTGTTGTAATACCATGGGCACTGGATAAAATCCAGATTTGTTATAAATTTTAAGAGTAATATCAAACATCGGAGAGAAAAAAAATCGCCTTTCAACCTTAAAATGTCTAGTTTTATTTCAATGAAAACTTTGTATTTTAGGGCTTTAAAGGGAGCTTAAAACGAATATGAAATGTTTTTGACCTTCTTTACCGAAACATCTTTTGGTTTTTGTTACTTTTTATATATATCTGATCTCATTTAATACAATAATGCATACTATTTTCTTATTCTACATAAAAATACCAGCCTTTATGTAATAACCTTACACATATAACAATAACATATACAACAAACGCAAAACTTTTTTTAAAAATAAATATTTTTAAAAAAATATTTAAATTAGCTCAAATATATTTTTTCTAGGCACATAGGGACCTTGGGAAGAATACTCGTTCATATTTATATTTTTTGACCTAATATCATTAAAAAAAATAACTTTTTATTGAAAATGACATCCCGGCTAGCTGAGACCCCTTGTTCAGTGTATTTGTTTCAATATTTTTACGGTTTTTGCAGGTATTCCTTTTCTAATTATTAAGGTTTCTGCTCTCATTTAATTCAAGGCCTTACTAAAATATTTACCACATAATAAAATAAAATGTTATAGTTTGGCTGTTTCCGATCATTTTGGGTCTGACCAGGTCTAGGTCTGTGGACTTAAGCGGCAAGGATAGGCAGACCTGATGGAGAAATGTCACAATTTGTAATAACACAAGTTCATTTTTATTTTGTTCCACCTTGGAAATTGTGTGTCACTACAATGTTTTACACGTCTGTGCTATTCTAGAAGCATTCAATGTGTATTGGAATTACAAACAGGCAAAACATAAACATCATACAGTACACAAAATTAATTATTATTAAAAACTAAACGTATGTTTTGTTATGCAATTTATGACAAGAGTTTGTAAAACCATTAAAATAAACACACCTACAATCTACATTTACAAATACATCCACTTAGTCTTTAGTGTAAGCAGATATGATTTAGTATATGGTCAAGTTTTTGCATTCAGTTTCGAACTTTCAGAGCAGTTAAATATCAATGACAAATGTTTTTTGACAGTGTCAGGAGTGAAACAATACACTATTAATTAACATTAATTTGACGTTCAGTTCTGCTTTGGTAGGAATCTTACCTGGATTATTTTTCTACATCTAACCATTACTTACCACATGCAAAAAGTTAAAACCTCCAAAGAAGCAAAAAACAGACAAATCAAAACTGTACAGACAGTTTTTGATATCTTGATGAGACATCAATCAAGGCTACAAATACTTACAAGATCTGGTTTGTTTTTAAATCGCAGAGCTTTCATAGCACTCTCATATTCATTGGCAGCGCTCTCGTTAGAATAACGTCTCAAGTTGTTGTGGTCGATAATGTCCATTTTCTTCGACATTATCTTTGAACGAGGAAGAACCTGGTCTGAATTGCTCCTTCTGAGAGACCTGAGTTTGTTCAATTTTGATTCTTTCACTACAGTTTTTTGCCCAGCTGAAACAATAAATAGTTAAAATCACTATAATAAAAATCTATTGGGTGAATTTAAGAATAAAAAGATTTACCCTTTTCTAACGTTTGTTGAAGCTTTTGGTACAAATAATTATACCTAGTTAGCGACAAATTATCAAGATCACTCCCGCATTCTTCTAAATATCTCTCTCTCCAACCGAATAAACAATCCAAAACAGAATCACCCTGAATATTCCAAAACAATTAGATAATGTTTTAGCACTATTTGAATCAGTGATTAAATTAAAATGTACATTGTTTGTTCTCATAAGAGGAGAGGCGCCATGCTCTAGCAATAACTCAATACAGTCAAAATGGCCGTTTGAAGCTGCGTCAAGCAGAGGGGTAAAACCATCGCAAAGAGGCCCTCCTCTGTCGTTAACTGCGGCTCCGTTTTTAATTAAAATCTCTGCAATTTCTTTGTTTCCGTGATTGCATGCTTCATGAAGAGGTGTCCAACCACTGTAATCCTTAACATCCACACTATGCCCCTAAAAATTAATTTAAATTTTTTTGAAGATCAAACTTAACAGGTGTCAAAAAAAAAATCACAGGCTTAAAATCTTGACTGTTGCCTGGATTGTGAATGTTTTTCGTTTGTTAGCTATTTAAAGCATAATAATTATCAAACCTGGTCGATGAGTTTAGCCGCTAAGGTTGCATTTCCATTAATAGCCGCTAAATGAAGTGGCATTTCTCCTTTTTCATTTCTCTTCCCTTTATTTGATTTGTTTTTGATTCTCGTCCTAGACACCTTTGCCTTATCGTTTTGGTTGTTTTCACCCATTTCAGCATCTGGGGCAGTCAAATTATGAATATCAGAAAGTAAACAATAAATTGATTTAAATTTACCTGATAAATCGCTAAGAATTATATGGGATCCAAACTCCTTCGCTGATTCTTCATTCTCTTCGTCACTCGATTCTTCAAAAGAGTCAGAGAAATTTTGAAGTTCCTTCTGAATTTCATCTAGAGAAAAAAAAATCATTACATAATTGGATTATATTTTAATACAATTCTACTTACCTGCAAGGGCAAACAGGTTTCTTTCAATAAAAGCCTTATGCATGCAACTTAGTACAGTGCTTTGAAGTTTATCTTTTCCAGCTTCCTCAGCGTAATTTTTAGCCTTTTGATACATTTCAATCATCTCATCATTTTTCCCCTGCATCTGGTATATATCAGCGATGTTCATGCACGTCCGGCAAGACTGGAAAAAAAGTGTATCAAGAAAAAATTTTCTCAAAGAAAAGTTCAATACGCTGCCCTACCTCACAAGCATCATCATTTTCCAACAAGAGCTCCTTCTTGAAATATTCTATTGCTTTGTGGTACTGCTTGTCATCTTTGTATGTTTGGGCCAGTGAAACATAACATTCAATCAGAGACTTTTTATCACCACCGATTTTTTCAACACTCTAAATTTAAAAAAATAAATATAAAAATATAACGCTAGAAAATATTAACTGAATACCATGAGCATCAGATGGTAATAAGTGATGGCAAGGCCAAAGTTGCCCATCTCGGCTGACATATCGCCTAAGTCTTCATAGAGTTTTTTTCTAGCCTCATATTCTGCTTCAGGTGGTATATCAGTCAATTTTTCCTCTGTCTCGCACATGGCAGCAACTGAAAAATAATCAATGATAATCATGAATTTCTGCCTTATCTGGCTGATTTGTAAATTTTAATGGCTTATTTAACAGGAAAAAATAACTGAAACAATATAATTATCAAAGGATAAAATTGTATGTTTTATGGTACATGGATTATGACATAAAAGGGGGAGGGGAATGACAGCAAACAAGCTTAGTGATGATAAATATGCAGTAAGAGTATTTTTCTAAATATCTGTTAAATTTGTTAAATAATGGTTATCTAATAAAGTTGGTATACATGTTTGTTTTGGAGTTTCAATAGAAGAGTAAAGTAAAAATAAAGAGATAAATTAAATATACCAATTCGAAGCTTGTGTTTGATATCAGCTCTCATCATTTCATTCGGACAATTGATTTTATAGGCTCGCAACAGAGCTTGCCTTGCACCCCTAAAGTTTGGTTGATCTAAAAGTACCTGGAGGAAAAAAAAAGTGTTTGTGGCATAACAAAATAAATATTGAAAAAGAATATGACAAACTTTTAAACTAACTTCAGACTTTAGAAGGAGAACTTCGCACAAAGCCTGGGAGGATTTGTCTGAAAGTCGCTCAGCAACTGGGATCGCTAGATCGAATGTAGACAGTGCTTTCGTGCTATCCCTATGCTTCTGATACACAGTACCTAAGGCTGTGTAAGACCTGAACAAATCTTCCCAAAGGTCGAGTTTCTTACAGATCAAAACAGCCTATAAAATAACAATATATTAAAAGGATAAATTTCTAAAAGGGCGAATCAAAATTTCCAACAAATTATTGCCATCTAGAGCTAAGCTTATAAAATTCATTCAGTATAAAGTTTTTAATTAATACGCCTTTTATCAAATTCTATATAATAAATAATTGAAACCCTTTGGCACATGCGGGGCCTTACACCTTACCACTCTTAACTACATTTTGATATTCGCTAATTTTGAATTTTACATCCTGAAGAGAGTACAAAGCTTTAAGGTGAATGAAAAAGAAGAGGATACTTGGGTCGAGTGTTGCCAAAAGAGCCAAGCAAGATAGATTTTTTTCAAGTCCTTACATCATGAAATTACTGATGAAGTAGTTTCGTACAGGAATAAGTTAATTGAAAAGAGAGCTGTCAAAGTACAGACTGTAACATAAAAGTTAAAATTTTATGTAAATTAATTGTAAATTACTTGAGGGTAGTACCGCCCACAAACACTTTTACATGACCGATAGCTGTGGGTGCCAAAGTTTCATGTCCTTCTACTACAAAATGCTATGAAACTAATAATATACCTTTAAAATGTAATCTTCTGCTTCTTCAGCTTGCTTTTGGCAGTCAAATACCAAACCAAGATTCAAAAACAGGCGAGTTCTCATTTCCATCCTTTGCTTCCAGCCAACAGCATCATTTAATCTAAAAAATAAAAAAAAAGATAAATATTTACATCTAGTTTTGTTATCTATGATGTAATTATGATGACATTATGGGACTACAATGACCTAAATTGTGGTCTGACAAGTATTTGCCTTGCGAGCAATTCTGGATTTAAATAATGGCACAGCCCTTGAACTTTTATAAATATAATATATTTTTTAAATGAAGTTTATTTATTAAAACTGGTCAAATTTGACCATCTACTAATTTTAAAATTAATTCTATTTGAAAATAATTATATAAAATTATACCCCTAAGTTAGATGTTAAGCTCTTAAGCAATTACTTTTGGAATAGTTGGAACTTACTGTTCACAGACTTGAAGACTCTGCATATAATAGGCTTTCGCCTCATTCAATGATTGCTTTGCTTTTTCTGGTGTGTCGATTACATCGTATGTTTCGGCCTGGAGAAAATAGGTCCTGCCTAGAGTTGCCAGAGCTCTCTGTTCTTCCACTTTATCCTTTTCCTCTCTGGACAGAGCTAAGCAGAAAATTTATGAAAGTAAGAAGACAAAAAATTTATTTAATGTTACTTCGATCTTACTTAGATGTTTCAGTTGGTGTTTGACAGCTTTGGTGAACTCCCCTTTCTCACAGTACACCTCACCTATCATTCTGTTGCACCTCGCAACGTCCATTTTGTTGTTGTTAGCATCGGAAACCCTCTCCATTTCCTATTGAACAATGTCATCACAATGATTTTTAAGTAACAATTTTAGCTTTTAATAAAGACAGTGATTAAAACAATCGGTTAGTTTCTGATATGCTCTTATCTAGTGTTGTATTCCAAGAAGCCATATTCTGGTGGACTGACAAATTTAGTCTTTTAAGGAACACATTTTGCATGGTATTTGCAAATCTGACAACATTTATTGCTACTGATGTTTTTACATTAAATATAATGTAATGTCTTATTAAGTGTAATATTCTTAAAAATGTCTCTTTCTAGAATAATTGTCTGAAATTGAGATTTATAAATCTGCCAGCCTATATTCTCACTAGGATTTGTTTGGATATTTTATGTTATAAGTTATGTTCAAATTCACCACCTTATCAATTATCATCAGACAAAATCTGTCTTTCTTTAAAAAAAATTGCATGATCAGTTTATAATTTATAATTTAAAAATTCACTTTTTATCCACCTTTATTCATTCACGCTATCTTATTTTCATAAGTTACTTTCTTTTTTTTTGAAGCGAGTTTTTTGTGGTATTGTATTTATAATAATGGATTCCTACTACACTTGAATTGGATTTATGAAGATGATATGCAATATTGCCACCTTGATTTTTGTTATAGTGTATGGACAGTTTATGTTACATCACATTCCTCCCTTACTCATCTTGTTTTATCAGGTTCAGCAATTTCTGGCTATCTGGAAAAATACTTTCGTTTAGATTTATAAAGCTGACAGCCTAAACAACTACGATTTTTGTTTGGATATTCCATGTTGTTCATTATTTACAAATGAACTTGTCTTTTCTATCACATTCCATAAATTCTGCCTGTCTGGGAAAAAGATTTCTCGAGGATTTTTCAAAGCCAATGATTCATATTGCCACCATTATTTTCGCTATATTGTTTAAAAAAAGAACTGTCTTATTGTTCATATTCATAATCATGGGAACATTATTTCATAAATTCTGTCTTTCCTTAAACACGTTTTGTGTTGGGTCATGTTCGTCATTGATGGAATCATGTTCAACAACTTGGTCTTTCTGAGTAAAACAATTTGAATGGGATTCACCAAGCTGACAACCTATACTACCACCTTGATTTGTATAGATGTTATAAATTATATATCATCCCTAACCATCTATAACCACTACATGAATCATTTTGTTCATCAAATTCTATCATTCTCTGAGTAAATTTTGTATGACATTTGTGTAGCTGTTGACCTGTTGTCTTTACAGACAATGGAATCATATTCGACAATTTGGTCTTTTTGCAGAAAACATCATGTTTTGTATATTATATTGTATATGATACACAAAGTAGAAACTTATATTATTTGTATCGATAAAAATAAATATTATATATTTCTTTCTTATCATTACGTCCCATTAGGTTCAGCAAATTCTCACTTTCTCAAAGTAAATTTTTTTATGGGATTTGTGATGCCAACAACCTATATTGTATATTTAATTTGTATGGTAGTTATTTATCATGTTCTTCACTTATTCATCTTAACAGGGTCAGCAAATTCTCACTTTCTCAAAGCAAATTTTGTGTAGAAAGCAATTTGTATTGGATTCGCAAGCTGAAAACTTATATTGCCACATTTATTTGTATCAATATTGTCTATTACATGTTTCTTTCTTATTTACCATTATGTTCCATTAGGTTTAGCAAATTCTGACTTCCTCAAAGCAAATTTTGTCTGGGATTTGTGATGCCAACAACCTATACAGAATCCAGGTCAGCAAATTCTGACTTTCTCGAAGCTAATTTTGAATCGATTTTGTGTACACAATTTATATGGGATTTTCAAAGCTGACAACTTATATTGTTACATTTATTTGTATCAATATTGTATATATTACTTTCTTATCTGTCATTATATCCCACTAGATTCAGCAAATTCTCACTTTCTCAAAGTAAATGTTGTCTGGGATTTGTGATGCCAACAACCTATATTGATTCGTTGGATGTTATTTATCATGCTCTTTACTTATCAATCATCGTGTTATCAAAATCAGTAAATTCTGACTTTCTCAAAGCAAATTTTGTCTGGAATTTGTGATGCCGACAACTTATATTGTATCTTTAATTTGTACAGTATTTATTTAACATGCACTTCATTTATCCATCTTATCAGGGTCAGCAAATTCTGACTTTTTCAAAGCAAATTTTGACTCAATTTTGTGAGCTGTTAATTGCCTTTACAGACCATGGAGTGTCTGAACCAGTGGCTTATTTTTTTCAAAGGAATTAAGTTTTCGGAAATTATTCTTTGGAGGGTTGATGCTTTCTCTTTTTTTTTTAAATCAGTCTTTAGAGAAATGGCAATGTTTATATTTAGGAAAATCGACTTTTCTGAGGGAAATTGGGTCTAAATCCAGTTGACTTACTTTGTACTCCTGCAAAGCCAGGTCGTATTTTTCGTCCCTAAAGTAGATCTCGGCCAGCTCCTTGCAGGCGGAGAATAACTGTGCGAGATCGCCCTCCGCCTCGGCTTTGTCCTTTTTTTTCCTCCACTCTGAAAAAGAATGTTCGAGAAATTGAATGTCAACGTTAAACCAGGACGGGTGAAACGGCCCGATTTTCGGGTTATTTTAAGACTACTCACTCTGCACTTCCATCGCGGGCCGTTCGGAGTCGGCTGGATGCCGCTCTGGGCGGGGATCGGTTGAAAAACGGTCGAAACTCTTGAATTTTGGCTCCGAAGGCCTCGAGTCGCCGAACAAAATAAAGGACTACGATGCCAGAGGTTACTTCGGTTATCAACATGAGGACGGGGGGCGAGAAGCGCGTAGAGAAAGACGCAAGGCGGCAACTCAGACCAGTCTGGGCAATCTTGTACGTTTTCTCCCCATTCCCTTTTCCCTCTAACGGCCCTTTCTAGGGACTTATTCATTTTACTCGCCCTCCTTTACACACGGCTTCTTCTTGGCAGCTCAGGTCACATTCTCCTTCTAGAAAGAACAGCAAAACTTACAGATGGAAGAGGTCTAATGCTCAAAACCAATTTCAACCCATTGATGAAAGATTCTTGCCTCGCCCTGCTTTTACCCAAACGTCGAGCTGTTTTATTTAAACAGATTTTTCTAACTCTGAAAAACTTCATATAGGAAAAGGCAGCGGCTTGCCGACTTATAACCCTAACACCCCACTAGATATATACGACCTCTGGTCGTTACAGGCGAATGGAACGTTTTTTGTCATAATCGTTCACTACCACGCCGTCTGAAACAGACACGCCTTCTAATAAGAAGAAGTGGACAAGCAAAGTGACTTTATATAAGTTGTAATAAAACGAAACAGTTTAAACTTCGACTTAAACTTACAGTTGGAAGAGGTTTAATGCTCAGAACCAGTTTCACCCCATTAAGGAAGGAAACGTGCCTCACCCTGCTTTTAACCCAAAAGTCGAGCTGTTTTATTTAAACAGATTTTTCTAACTTTGAAAAACTCCATATAGAAAAAAGGCAGCGGCTTGCCGGCTTATAACACTAACAGTCCACCAGATATCACGCCATCTGAAACAGGCAGGGCTTCTAATAAGAAAACATGGATAAGCAAAGCGATTTTATACAATTTATAATAAAACGAAACAGTTTAAAATTCGACTTACAGTTGCAAATGGTTTCATGCTCAGAACCATTTTCATCCCACTGAAGAAGGAATCGTAATAAAACGAAACGTTTAAACTTCGACTTAAACTTGGTTGGAAGAGGTTTAATGCTCAGAACCAGTTTCACTCCATCGAGGAAAGAAACTTGCCTCGTCGTTTTTAACCCAAACGTCGAGCTGTTTTGTATAGATAAATTTTCCCAAAAACCTCCACGAAGAAAACGACAACGCCTTTCCGGCTTATAACCTAACACCCCACCATATATCTCTTGTATAACTTCTGTAGTGGGAACCTACCGTTACCACGTACCCGTTAGGTGTCACTGCCGGTTCTGGAATGGTCTCCTCGCCCTCCGGCCTCCACTCTGCAGCGAGTCAGAGCAAAGCCAGTGCGTATGTAAGCAGGGGCACTGCCCCACTGGATTCAGACTCGTCAACCCGACGAGGTCTCACTTACACCTTAATTCTCTTCATCCAGACGAGCTCTCACTAATCGACAACGACAGCAGACTCATCTCTCCGACGAGTTTTCGCTTATCACTAATGAAGCACCTACGACAATGGTAAGGGCACTCACAGCGTTAGCCTCTAACTCACCTTCTCAACACAACCGACTTGACTACAGGCAAACCGCTGCTTTCGGCCAACTGCTGCACCAAAGTCCCTTCAACCGATGTAGAGTCAGCCGATTCACGGCCCCGGACCTCAGCCAACTGCTCTCCCTACCAACAGGCACACACACACTCAGCCCCGGCCTCGACACATCGTCTCAACGCTACTCTTCCAGACAACACCGGCTCTTGTCAAGGCCACCAAAAAATCCTAATCACTAAACAATATTCTCGTTAATAGTATGCTCCAATAAAGATTATTGGAATACAACATTCGACCATACTCTAACTTACACACTAACTAATAATGTAAAGTCACCGTCTTGTTCACTCTGCGTATACTCCTAACGTCTTGCAGTTTGACTATGGACTCTTTTGTACATAACTTCTTTGAGTTTCCATTACCAGTTTATGGAGGTACTGTGGATCGAACCGCGCTGAAGAATGAACAAGTTTCTTTTTGTCAGTCTTCAGCAATCGACAAAGGCTGCAGGCAGTACAAACAGCAACTGCAGTAGCTACATCGTTAAACCTAATTATCTAATATAATACATATTGTTATTCGTTGCAACAAGTTTTCGTGAATAAACTTCTTGCTATACGACAACTAATATGTGAAGAAAATTGTATATGGCGTGTTAAGGCGCATTTTTTCTTTTATATTTTATCGTAAATTACGAAGTCTAGTCTCCTTCCCCTTTTTTTTTTCAAATCTCCCCGAAGGGGTAAATGACCGAAAAGTTACACACTCCAACAATCGATGTTGTTTCTTGCAGCTAACACAAGTTAGAGAGAGGATGCCTTTACGTACAAGGAGATTTCTTTTGAACCCCTATCATGCCGAATGACGGAAGAGGCCTTGAAGGATTTGGAGTTGGTGGTCAAGGCAGAGGATTGGAGTTGAATGATTTGTCTATGGATGAAATCGGTAAAATCATTCCATGTTGGGAGACGTGATTTTGACCTAAATTCCGATTCAAAACGTTCTCGGGTCCTGGGATCCAATACGTACATAAGATGAACCCTGCTGGGTCGGCCAACTTCAATTGGAAGAAGGATGAAGCACTCTCCAGCACCTGTGAGGAGAATGATTCAAAAGATAAAAGGGGAAAGGAGAGTTAAATATTCTGGATAACTATCTTTAATTTAATAACAATATATATTTAATTTATTCATCTTCTCTGAAATTAATTGAGATCTGGAAAATTAATTCCCACATTGAACCAGTGGGATATTGGGGTAAGGAAATCGGTATTTCAAATTGACGAAAGCCCTTCCCCCCAAGTCGGCGTAATGCTTAGGAGATGACAGGAAGTTATCAACATGATGTAAACCGTGGATAATTTATTGACCATGTAATGTTGTAATGCTACAAAACATGCTTGATTTGCGTGCGTTTATTGCATATGCGGTTTATATAATGAGCACTTATGAGTAAAGCGGCCCATAGACGGTCAATATTATTGTACAATATAGATTGCACAATAATTTGACGGTTGCCCCTTAACGTTCAATAATATTGTACAAAATTTTGTTTGTGCAATTAACTTGAATAGTTTGAAGGCGATAGTTAAGTTTGTGCTATATTTTGTGCACTTGTAGATACTTCACAAACTGATATTGCGCAAAATGCCAACAGACGGTGCAATATTTTCCAGGTTGTACAATATATTTTTAACTTTTCGTCAATCATGCAATGTATTGCACAAACTTTCAATATCGCCTACACACAATCAATTAAATTGCACAACCGAAAATATTGTGCAATAATATTGATCGTCTATGGGCCGCGTTAAGTGGGTTTCAATTTTTTTTCTAATCCAGTCATCCTTTGGCCCGACGGTTCGCTTAAAATTGCCAGGACGTCCCACCAAGTTCTCGTTCAAGGGCAGCGGAAAGAGTCAAGGATTGGCGTTGCTTGGCAACCGAAGCCCCAGGTACACAAAGTTGAAAGTCCTGGAAACGTCAGGGGTACAATGCGCATCGGTGCATCTCAGTATTTTGCAATTAGGTTTTATTAGATTTATTACTTTAAAGGTAAAGAATGACTCTTTATTTCGACTATCGCGTTAACATCGGGCCGGTCGGGGCCAACACGTCTTTCACTACGATCGACTGGCATCAGCAACATGCTCTCTTGGCCGTGGCACTCTACAATACAGAAAAAGGTGGATCAGTCTACATATGTGACGATTTGGTAAGACATTTCAACGATTTTAATTGCCTTCTTTCGTATCTTTTTTTATATAAATGTTAACATTGTTCATAACCTGTGGCAGAACATAAAAAAAAGAAACAGACGTCACGTAACAGCTAACAGCTGTCCACACATGTACGACGTCTGGAGGCCTTTTGGAACACGGGTACATGGTCCCGCTCATTTTTCGAATTTTTATTTTTACTACTTTTTACTTTTACTTCTTTTTACTTTTACTTCTTCACCATTTATTTTTACTCAAGAAATGTTGCGCCATAGAAGAATGTGAATTTAGAAAAATACAGTTTTACTTTTATTTCCGCATCTAACTTTTACACCAATACCGTACCAAATCTCCCAGGATTTTAGCTTGGTTCATTAGAAATGGCTGACTCCTAAGGTCTTCAAATGTATCTGTAAATTTTTTTTTCTCTCGCCTTAAAAACTCACATATTTTCAAAATAACTGATTAAAGTAGACAAATTTTGGAACATTTTGGGTTAACATTCTTGGTATTTTATATCTCTCAGATGATGCTCAGACATCTTGTTTCAGAAAAATCATATCAATTCCTATTGGCGCAGAAAATACATATTCAATAGCTAAAAATAGATATAGTGATTTATTTTCTGACAAAAATTACATAATAAATATATATTTGTTATTTAACATGTTCTTCACTTACCCATCTTATCAGGGTCAGCAAATTCTCACTTTCTCAAAGCAAATTTTGAATCAATTTTGTGAAGCGGTTAATGATCTTTACATGCAATGAAATCATATTCCACAATTTAGTCTTTTTATAGGAAACAATTTGCATCGGATTCACAAAGCTGAAAGCTTATATTTACACATTTATTTGTATTGATATTGTATATTATATGTTTCTTTCTTATCTCCGACTGTTAAGGTCTTCTTACGTATCTGTAAATTTTTTTTCTCTTTAATGTATCACCCTAAAACCTCATATTTTCGAAATAATAGATTACAAGTAGACAAATTTGTGAACATTTTTTACTAACATTATGAGTATTTTATATCTCTCAGAAGGTGCTCAGACATCTTGTTTCACAGAAATCATATTAATTCCTATTGGAGTAGAAAATACATATTATATATCTAAAAAGTAGATATAATGATTTATTTGATTGAGTTGATTGGATTTACTTTACCACTTAAACTTTCATCAAATTTGCCCGATCTCTGCTACTGTTTTTCCTGTAATGTTTGCGTTTCATTAATAGAGTACAGAATTCTTCTCAGGTGTATGGTATCTAGGTCTTTTCCCAGGTACCATAGTCTTTTTTGGCTATTGCAAGGCAGTTGCTTGGGATATGTTCACAGACACTAGATGTACTAGAAAATTTTATTTTTTACTACTCTTTACTTTTATGTATTTTAGAATTTTATTTGAATATTTGATGTGCAAAAATATCAGTATCTTGTGCACTGTCAGATAACTAAAAAATAAAAATAAAAAATCATTTATTTATTAGGTTTAAGATCAAATGAGGTTTGTTGACAGATTGCCTGAATAGGCAATGGATATTTCACAATTTGGTCTTTGAGAAAAATTTTAGGATGCTTCAAATTGCAATAAAAACGTTTGAACTTTAATATTTATTATAGCTTGATTTCTGATCATTTTTGATCTGACTATCCTTGCTGTTTTGGTCTTTGATATCTTCATCGGTGCGTGTGAATTAATACTTAAGATGGCAAAACAACCAAACTGGCTCATTATCCTTACAAAGGAATCTTACATTCATATGGAATGATGTTTTAGGGGGAAAAACTGAAAGATATCGAACCTGCATACCATCCGACGTCAGAAGTTGTCCTCCTCTCATGGCATCCGAACAGGAGAACATTGGTAATAGCATGGCAAAATGGAGAATTGCGGGTGTGGAATGGAGACAGCGAGTACATTCTTGTCCAACTGACAAAACCATCAGTAATAAAGATGGGAAAATGGTCTCAACAAGGAAGCAAGTTTGTCACAATAGACAATGTAAATGTTTAAAATTATAAACAAAACAAGAGTAATTTGATTGATGAGCATAATTGCAGTTTGGTGAGATTGGAGGATGGCGGCTGGATGCAAGAGGACAATTAATATCGCTTTTCTTTGTCAAACCGGACTCAGGAAATCCGATCTGTCTTGAGATGAGAGTGGCAAAATCAAGTCTCGATATTGCTGGACTTGCTAAAAAAGCAGTTGCTGGAGATGAACAGGCACTTGATATGTTTAGTGCCTGGAGGCCTAAAACTGCTGGAAGGCGGACCGCTGTTCAAATGGACGCAACCGCCTTTTATGTTGGAACAGACAATGGTATTTAATTTCAATAATTTTTTAAATATTTTTAGTTAATTGATAAATCATTTTTACATCCAAGGGTATATTTATCATATAAACGAAAGTGGTTTTATGAGGGAAGTGGCAAGTAATCTCGGGTTAATTCAAAAGCTACTTCACTATGAAAAGGAAGACTGTTTATTGGTTATTGTCGAAGGGCTCAATATGAATTACTATTCAATTGATCCGAATGGTAATCTGCAAGAAGTTACAAAGGTACTATTGCAGTAATGTACTAGATGTAAAAAAAATTATCCATCAAACTTTTCAGGTCAAGCTTAGCACATCTGCTGCCATGACTGGTTGTTCTGTAGTCTGGGCAGGATCTGGTGTACTGGCTTGTGCTGTGGGCGATATGACTGTCAGAATTTGGGAACCAAGCACAGGCGACAGTTATTCTCTTATTTTCTCAAGGAGTGACGCTCCACAATCATCGTTACGAGAAATGATAACAACACTGGCTTTTTCAAAGAACAAAGGTTCATTTTTCAGTATAAAAGCTTTTTAGTTGTCATAGATTTTTTTTTTTTTGTTAAAAGGGCTTTTATGTGGCTGCACAAATGCTGGAACTGTCATTATATGGAAAGTGAATGGAAAGGGTTACGATGCATGGACTCAAGTCGCTTCGACAAAACTGAAACAAAGCATAAAACATGCAATGTGGGGGGCGAATCAACTTGCGATTAATTCTATTGGGACTGTTTACGTACTGAAAGAACATACCCTTTCCGCCATATATCAGAAGAAAGTATGTTAATTTTACATTTAGAATAGACTAATTTTAATATGTTATGGATGGTATCACTTGTTTTTCCAATAAAAGCAGTAGTATTCCTTAGTAATATTTCAATATATGACAGTATAATAAAACTCAGAAAACATTTCAGGATTTGTTTTAGACACTCAAAGAAAAAACCGGATACTTGTATTTATTTGTTTATTTGCAATAATAACTAGGTATAAAGATTAATAGTTGACTTGAAATGTAAATTGTGATGTTTGTATCGGTGTGTGATGGGATGGTCGGTTGGTTGTTGGCATAAAGAAAATGACTTCTTAAGGTCGATTCATATCTACCAGCACAGAGCTTATCCAGCACATAGCGTGGCAGACACAAAAAACATCATTACATACAAAACATATAGGAACGTTCATATTTAGCGAACGTTTGCGGAGCATGTCAGTGCAGACACGTACCAGCACCGGACAGCATTGTCGCCGAGAATGTTTTGCTTGTGCTGGCACGTATCTGCGGTTGTCTTTTCTTATCTGTGTGGTTCATTTTGGTTAGTATGAATAGACGACAGACAAGATTTGTGCAATTCCAATAGCTTAGGTGCCTACCTATAATAAATTTCATTATAATTTTAATTATAATGTCCAGTCTTGGTAAACCGAACTTGCGCTAATCCGAATTCGGGCTAAAATCCGAATCGCCGATCAGTACATATTCAAGATTTTTTTAAAAATTTTATTTTACAAAGTATGTACAATAATAATATATAAGAATATAAATAATAATAATAATATAAGAATATTATATATTATATGTGATGAAATGTATGTAATTTGTAATAAACGGACGTGGAAAGAATCCTGTCCATTGGTTTTCTGAAGAATAGTTTGTTGGTCTGTAGGTGACAGTTGCTGTGATTACCGCATAGTATGAATACTAGTGTCTGTGCCGTGTCTGCCACGCTACGTGCTGGACATGCTCTTGTGCTGGTAGATATGAATGAATTGACCTTTACACTGGCCAACGTTTAAATTTAATTTTAAATCTTTTTCAAGGCTGTCGCTTGATATCTAAGTGTCCTCTTTTTTATGTTTTATTTATTGTTATTAATAGGCATATGTACCACGTTATTTTTCTACTCCATCGGTTGCTACGAGGGGAACTCCATATAATACATATAGTTTGAAATAAACAACAAACTATGAGTATCCAGTTTGAAAAAAAAAAAAAAAAAATTATACATACATACATANATTTGAGTATATAAATATTTTGTTGATTTTTCTTTGATCTTAATTTTCTTCATTTCAGAGATTAGGCTTGCAATTTGAAAAAAAAAATTACATACATACTTTACTTGTAACTCTTTTGGCCACAACTCTGCTTATTATTTGTTCTAAACCTAGGTATATATAAAAAAATTGAGTGATACATATTAAATTTGAAATACATCCACCAGAAAAGCAGAAAAAACATATTTAAAAATTACTTAAATTAATAACTTCTCAGCTCCTAGATGCCCAATGGCAAGAACACTCAGACAGATGCCTAATATTGTTTGACTTTGTATCAACAAAAAAGTTTGATTAAAATCGGTGATCCCATGCCTATAGCCTTCTCTTGTCAGTGTTTTTCTTTTCTTTAAAATCAGAAATTTTCCAACATACTCACAAACGAAGTAACAACAGTTTTTCAAAAACAAGGGGATATGTTCTCTGGTTTGTGAAATATTTGTAGCCTCCCCTTATAAGTGAAAAAAAATATCTATTTGAGTGTATCTTATTTTATAATGCTGACATTGAAAAAAGGTGTTACCACTTAATAGCAAAATTATTATTTAAAGTCTTATTCTCTATATTTTAACTTTCAACACAGACTTTAGAAAAAATTGTTTGTCTTTATCTTATTTTTTGCACTTGTAGTATCGATGATTTGTACAGGAAAAAATATTTAGTATATAATTTTTGTGAATTATAGAACAAACTCGACAATTACTTGTATCAGAATTCTTAGATTTCTTTGATCTGATTGCTTTACTTTTGTTACAAGATTTTGGTGATTCAGACTTCTGCTACTCAAATGATTGTAAGCACTGGTGATAAAAATGTTGAGCTGAACACCGACCTTCAAGTATCAGGGATAGCTTTAAATGACGAAATTGTTGCCGTTTGGAGTGGAAAAATGATGGCTGTGTACCACCATCTTGCCTCATCTATTAGTGTCATGGGTAATTTTTGTTTTCTTTGTTTTTTTACTTTGAACTTAGCTGGTGTGTAAATTTCAGGTTCATTTTCTTGTGAATGTGTTGCGGCTGGTGTATGGAACAACAATTTGATAGTTTTGACAATGACTGGAAAAATCGAGGTGTTGACATTGCAAGGGACTGTGAAACAGTATGTGGATACAGATGGGCAGCCCATTACCCTTAGCCTTACTTCTAATTTCATGACAATATCGACTATGACTGGAACACTCCAAGTTTGGGATTTATCCAGAAGGTGATTTCTCAAAAAAAAAAAAATTATTATGTTTTATTTTTTATTTTACTTATAGAGAAGCTAAACCTCACTCAAAAGTCAAAGATCTTATTGAAGCTATAAGTGATTTTGGCGAGGTAATAAGTGCTGTTTGTAATAGCAATGGGACAAAAGTAGCACTGACGATTGCTAGCAGTAATCTTACACCCATACCTGGAATTTACGTTTGGTGTATAGAGGAGGATGTGATCAGCTCTCATCATTTTCATCCTCAAAAGTAATGCATTATTTTAAAGAGTTAAAAAATAAAAGCATTATTAAACATAAAAATTAACTTTAGCGAACCTATGAGATTTGTTATTTCGATGCATTGGGATTCTGATGAGCCGAGGCTTTTAGTCTGCGAAGCAAAGAGACCTGTAATCCCACCTTCGAACAGGCGGATAACTGCAAGCACTCTCTCAAGGCAGGAAACAATGTCACCCACAACAGTTCTAGTTTCATTTTTGGTTACTCCTGAGCATGGAATGCTTTTAAAGGATGTTAAGCCTGTTGATGATGAATTTGTCTCGCTTTTGGGTGTTGATATACCATATTTTATTGTGATAAAAAAATCTTCTCAACAGGTAGAATGATATAAGTTAATTTATGGATTTTTTGGGTGGTGAAAGAACTGACAAAATGACTTTTTTCTAGAAAATCGTTGGTAGCAAGATTTTAATGAAAGATTTTGAAGGATTGGAAGAAGCTGACAGTCAAACAAAAAATGCCGTTATTAATTTTAGCTTCTCTCTGAGTGTTGGAGATGTGGATCAGGCATTTAAATCAATCAGAAACATTAAGAGCCCGGCTGTCTGGACGAGTTTGGCAAAAATGTGCGTCAAAGGGAAAAGGCTTGATGTCGCCAAAGTTTGCTTGGGGCGTATGGGACATACTAGAGGTGTAACTGCTTTAAAAGAAGCCGAAAACGAGCCGGAGGAAGAAGCTAGAGTAGCGGCTCTTGCATTACAACTAGGGATGGTGGTAAGTAACACCTTACACATTTCTTTTACGTAAATAATAGCAAGAGAAAATTACAGACTGAGGCGGAAGAACTCTATGAATCATGCGGAAGGTACGACTTGCTTAATAAATTATACCAACGGAGTGATCAGTGGGACAAGGCAGTAGAAATCGCTCAAAAATATGACAGGATACATTTGAGAAATACATATCATCATTATGGAAAGTGTGTATTTACTGTGTATTTATGCTGTATTTAATTAAATTTATACATATTTTTGCCAAACAGGTTTTTAGAATTATCCGGTGATACACCTGGTGCTGCGCACATGTACCAGAAAGCAGAAACCCACCGGCATGAAGTCCCTAGAATGCTTCTCGGAGATATACTAGCTTTAGAAAAGTATATTGTAGACAGCAAAGACCCGTAAGTTCATTATAATTTTTTTTTGTATATTTGTTTTATGACGTTTGATTCTTCCAGGGTATTGTTAAAATGGTGGGCGCAGTTCAAAGAAATGAAAGGTGACAAAAAGACAGCGACCAAATTTTATGAAGACGCAAGAGATTATACTTCGTTGGTGAGGATGATGTGCCATGCTGGAGAAATGGAGAAAGCGACACAGATCGCTGAAACGACTGGTGACAAGGCGGCTTGTTATTACCTTGCGGGTCGTTATGAAGAAATGGGAATTCTACCGACTGCTGTCCATTTTTATACCAGAGCGACGGCTTATACTAATGCAATGCGACTGTGCAAGGTTCTTTAATGGAAAAAAAAAAAAANATATGCACAGATTGCTCATATATTATTTTATATCATATATCAAATAAAAATTAATTTAAGGAACAAGGCTTAGAAGATCAGCTATGGGCTTTATCTTTATCAGCCGGCCCGAGGGAACAAGCAGAAGCTGCTAAATTCTTAGAAGCCATAACTCCTGAAAGAGCAGTATTGCTGTACCATAAAGCTGGGATGTTTCATAAAGCTTTGGATCTTGCTTTTAGGTTTGTACAGAAATATTTTTGTTTGTTATTAAGTAAAATTTACTAATTATCATTTGCATTATTGCAGAAATAATCAGTTTGATGCCGTTGAACTTATTGCGACAGAACTTACATCAGACGACGACAAAGAACTTTTAGTTAAATGTGCGGATTATTTTATCGAGCAAGAACATTTTGAAAAAGCTGTCCATCTTCTTGCAATTGCAAAACAGGTTTGTTGAATTTACCCTGACTGTTTAAAAAATACTTTTAAAATGTATATCTTGCAGTATGAATCAGCTATAAAGCTATCTTGGGACCACAACGTACTTCTCAATGAAGAACTCGCCGAAAAATTAAGTCCAGAAGAAGGCCATGAAAACCGTGTCATACTTTTAGAAACTTTGGCTGATTGCGCCCTTGCGCAAGCTAATTATCATCTCGCTACAAAAAAATACACACAGGCCGGGAATAAGGTCAATGTCTTTTTTCTTCGAAAAAATTCTCTTTGAATATACAAATAATTTTATAGATGAAAGCCATGAAAGCATTACTTAAATCCGGCGATACAGACAAAATAATATTTTTTGCAAATATAACAAGGCAAAAAGAAATGTATGTAATGGCAGCAAACTATCTCCAATCGCTTGATTGGAGAGTGAAACCAGAGCTTTTGAAAACAATTATAAGCTTTTATACAAAAGGAAAAGCTCCACATCTGCTAGCAAATTTTTATGTTGCGTGTGCCCAGGTAATTATTAATTTTTTGTCTATTCGTTAGATAGCTGAAAGTTAATGTTTCATTTCAATTGTAGGTTGAAGTTGATGATTTTAGGAACTACAACAAAGCTCTAGGGGCGTTAAATGAAGCTTCAAAAAGCTTATCGGGTCCAAATGCTGACCAGTACTCAAACTTAAAAGAAATGATTAGTCGTAAAACAGCACTAGTGAATAAATTCCTTGATGCAACAAGGTAAAGTGTTGAATATAAACTTTTAGAAAATTGATAACTTTCTGTTAAAATTTTCAGGCAATTTGAAAGAGGCGAAAATGAAGCCGGAATGCAGACTTGCAGGATACTGTTGAGTAGTGGTGAAAGCGAACTTGTCAGAAAGGGAGACGTTTATGCTCTCATGATTGAAAATACTGTAAGGAATAATGATTTGGTAGCGGCTAAAACTTTAGTTCATGAGTTAAAACTGGCCCAGCCAAACGACACCATTGACTTCTATCTTACGAAAGGTTGTAAACTGTTTGGTTGTTTTTAGCTTGGGTCTTTATTTGTCAAATTTTTTCAGATATTTTAGCAAGATTGGGAATAGAAGTGGAACAAACGACAAATGACGAAGGGCAATCCGATGGTGATGATAATGTCATCGATGAAACTGTTTAGTGTAAAAGTCAACAGGATGTTTATTCTGTATTATTGTTATTTATGTTCTTCTAGTTTATTAATACTTAAATGTATAAATATAAATATATTTTTTCTAAATGGATTTTTATTTTATTTGATCACATCTTGATTTCAGTGAGTGTTTTTAACAAAGAAATTTTATCACTAAGGAAAAACAACACGACAAATTAATACATATGAACACACACAATACTGTTCATGTCATAAACCAAAGATATTAGATGTATATTAGCATGGTGTAAAGTTAATTGTAACATTTATGTACAAAAATAAGCATAAATGGCTTAGTAGCAGTGATATCTGTACTGAAGGTGTTCACAGAGAAGAGAGTAATGTTTTGAGTTTATGAAGGTAAAGGGTAGAGGCAAACACACACACAGTGAGAGCGAGAGAGAGAGAGAGAGAGAGAGAGAGAGAGAGAGAGAGAGAGAGAGACATATTCAAGGTATCCAGACCAGAGGGGATCCGGTAGTTTCTATGCTAGGGAAGCCCACTGCTCTGGGAGGTAGAGTGGCCTCTATCTAGGGAGTCCACGGGAGACCAAGGTGATGTATTTTGGCTTAGGTAGCCCTTTGCGCGCAGCATACAGTTCAATGCTTAATGCGGCGGATCCGACCACTCAGAATGGGCAAGCAGGGAGCGAGGTTGTCTTGGCCCCTCGGGGCTGAGCTTCCTCTACACCAACGCTGCGGCAGTAACACCCTTCTGTTGTATGTGGAGGTGTGTCATTTTGAGAATCAAAACTTCTGATAAGGCCGAATAGGCTAGGTGCAGATGTTAAAGATCCTCATTGCCCTTTTTAGGACGACTGAGTATACGGGAAGCAATATTCAAGTTATCCAGCACTCTACCTACATATGAACAGTTCGAACTGGAAATTTTTACATACTCCAGCAAAAATAGGGAAGGATGTGCTTTTGTGATCTTCAGCAGGAATGTGCAGGCCGTGGTATCAAAATACAGATTGGGTGGCCATTGCTTAAATTACCAGTTGGACAAGCTTTTGAGTGTGTCTATGGGCAGGCTAGAAATGCAATAATAATAAAAATCGCTACTGATAGTAGAGTCACCATTGACTCTTTGCTGAATAGTAAAATACATCTGGGTCTGATAGAAGAAATAAGAAATAATTTAAAAAGGAAGGTTCTCATTCTCTGAGATAGGGGAGAATGTTGGGACAGTGGGAAGCTTGCTGACCAGATAACTAAGGCTGCTTTCCAAAATAAGGATTTGCCTATTATGTATGAAAAAGTTCTTCTATCCTTTGTTTGGAAAAGGCAAAATCAATGCAGATATGGTAATTATGTGTGGATTTTAGATTGACACAACTTAAATTATTCCACCAGCAAAATGGCGCAGAGTATCTCCTCATCTTCAATATTGTCCTAGACACTAATTGTTCTTGCAGGGAGGCATCACCTCTGACAGTGGATGGCCTTTTGGCCTGTGGGAGTGTGACGTGTGCTAGTTTTCCTTTGCTGTGGCACACAATGACCCAGGAATTTGGCCCTCCACAAAGTATTGCCTTCTTGGAAATGAAATGCTGTTATTCTTTATGAAGCAGTGTATTTACTTGAAAAAATTTGGAAACAAAAAATCTTTCAGTTCTGTTATTAAAAATTGGTTACACATTGGGAAAAGAGTAGAAAAAGAAGGTACAAGTACTTTAAATAAAATAAATTTGAAGTCATAAGTTAGAGAGTAAGAGTAGACCGTTAACAAGTAGAATTTGGGCTGATGGGAGAGAACCAATTTTGCAAAAAGAAAGATTAATCTGGTTGGCAATGTTTCAAATAATATTTAGATATATTGTCCTGAGAATGGAAACAATTTGAATGCGCTGGCACGAGTATGTGAGTAGAGGAAACAAGTAGAGAAGCAATTTGACACAGAAAGTTGATTCCTGATCACTTGATTGAAAGAAGGCAAATAACAAATTATTTTAGTTTAGTTCCTTTATTTTACCCCAATTGCCGGTCCTTTGCACTAGAGTACTTGATGAATCCAATCCCATTTCCATTGAGCTACATCAGAACCATCATAGTTCTGGACAATACAGGTTGTCAGAGAAATGCAATAAAATTTATTTTATTTCATGTATTTATGAGATGAATAAATTAAACAGCATTTTATTTCAATAACAGTTTGGATACAATGTTGTAATATAAATATCCTAAATAATTTTATTAGTAATTAACATAATTTTTTTAATATTTCTTTGTCAAAATGTTAACTTTTTTAAGTCTTTTATAATATACATATTTTAATATTCAAGTTATAAAATTGCACTTCTAATTATTGAATAATTCAAGTTATAATAATACGGGGAAATAATGTATACCTAGATATTATTAAGAACCACTTTTTTTTTAAATTTTATAATTTAAGAAGGGTGTGAGCTTTCTACTTTAAAATTACATATTCTTGTAAAAATTGTTTAATTATAATTTTTTATTCCAGCATTATACATTATATTTTTTTCATGAATCATTCCTATCACTAGGTTTAACATTGCAAAAACGTGTAGCATTATTGTATATATTAAATAGCTCACTACCCTGTAAAAGTTGTATTTGCTCACTGTTTTTTTTTGTATTTTTAAGTGAAGAAAGGTTTGGAAATTTTTAAATTTATTGTATGAAGGATGCCAAATTATTAAGGTAGACAGCTATTATTCTAGTACCATAATGTTTCTTTTTCTGAAGTAGAAATTATAATCAATATACCAAATCATATGTTAAACAATACAATTAAATTAAAACTAATAAGGTCGAAACAAACATTTATATATGAATTAAAAAAATAGAACCTATAAAACATTTAAATAATGATATATAAATACAATACAACAGCAACATGAAAGTGAAAATAAACTAAAAGAAGTATAATTTTGATTTTATTTTAACAATCGAATTGTGTCAGAAGAAAGGTACATTGAATGGCATTTACTTTTTGTTACTGTACTTTTGAAAAACTATAAATAGAACACAATCGGCTGATAATAAGGTGAGATGATTTTTTTGTTGTTGAAATGCTGGACTGTAAAGGATGCTATTGTTTTGACATTTCACTTGTCATCCTTTCGAACTTTGTGGCCGCGGAAAGAAGCTTGGATCTTGGTAGCGGCTTTATGTAGGTCTGGATCGGACAAGTCGATATCAAGCTCTTCTGCATCTGACTGAAAATCAGAAAGAAGTTTAAGTTAGTTGTATTACAAACATATAGAAATTTGATCTACAGAGATTAGTGTTCAATTTTGTTAACTATGTATGATCCATGATGTTTGAAATAAACCTCAATATTTATTTATTTTTGCCATCAAACGACTAGGTCATAACTGGCACACAGCATTTTTCCTCTCTGCATTTCTTAATATTTCTCCATTTTCCACCTCAAATTAGTCTATGTATTCTATGCTTATCTTATGGTTGCAATGACCTGGGTCACATCTGCACCCTTCTAATTCACACACCAATAACTACTTACAACTTGCTAATTAATACATTCATTCGTCTACTCACATGCCATACTATATAAAATTAAGAATAAATTGAAGTACTTCATATTCTGCTGATGACCACTCCTCTCATTCATACCAAATATGACTAAGCCTAGAAAACAGAGTGTCAAAATATTTGGATATACTGTCTAACTGGTATGGCACATTCATTCATGTGGGTATCCATCCAGCATTCTCGCTAATAAATACATACATTTATATTGCACGTATTCAAAGGGGAAGGTTATAGTAAGTCATACACTTTCACTACTCGTAAATATTCCAATAAATTCTGCTGGTAGTCACTGAACAAAATGAACCAAGATTTTCTTTCATCTAGGGGCAGACCACACCTTATTTTATAATGTTTTAGTTTCTCATACTCCACCAGTATGTGACGTACTGTCACTGGCTCATCACACTGTGGGCATCGTCTCTGACGACCGCCCTCCAGAAGATAGCCATGGGAGAGACATGTATGGCCTATTCTCAGTCTTGTTAAGATCATTCAGTCTTTATTTTTCATTTTCTCCACAGGCCACGGTTTGACTGTGTCTTTAATATTTTTAGTTGCGCTGAGAGAGTCTGTACATATCACAAATTTTATTCCGTACAGTTTTATCAACTTGCTGAGTGTATTATTATTTGCTTTTATTATTATAAATATTTTTATTATTTATGTCAATAATAAATTATAATTATTAATTAATTATATAATAACAATAAATTATCTCAAATCATCCTGATCAGCCCATTCTCATTTAATTGGACTATTAGAAGTGTTTTAGTTTGCCACCTTCAGTAATTTGTCTGCCTTAGAAGGGGAGATCGAGCTACAGTTTATTACTTCAAAAACAATGTATCCTGTTTAATGTCAATTAAAGTTGTTGGTGTCTGTTGGTCTTCAAGGTGATGAACACATGTTGAACTGATCGACACTTGATCACTTTACTGGGCCCATTTACTCTTCCTGGGTTATGTTTCACTCTAACGCAGTTCAGCGTGTAACTTAAACCAATGAAAGTGGATGAACTCAGTAAAGTGATCAAGTGTCAATCAGTTCAAGGTTTAATGTACATGGTGCAAAATGTTGATATAATCTTTTAACTATATACATTTTCTTTAATATTGAACTCCAAACAATTTCACCCCACCTCTTGAGCACATAATATTTAATACCCCCTCACCCATCCATTGTTCTTTAATTTGGAAACCAATCTTGGTCAAACATAGAAGAGAGTGGCAAAGATGGAAGTAAGACAGCAGAATAGTGAAACATGTCTGACAGACCACCCCAGCAGAACAAAAAGGCTCACCACCCCCCAGAACACATGGAGACATCATCATACCAAGAAGTTGTCAGTAAGAATGATCAAGATTGATCATAATATTGGCAGTTGTAAATTTTACGGAGATAGAATAGATGAGACGTAAACGTGATCTATTGACTATAGCTTAGCGTTTAGCATAAAATGTTTAAAAAAAGAGTCTAGGAAGGGAAGACAAAGGTCTCTGTCTGGGAAGAGTGCGAAAACTATTAAAAATATCATATCATTATAATTAATGTACTAATTTTTCATTTAGCCTTAAAAATATTTAAAAGTTTTCATAGAAAAAAAACAAATATTTATTTCAGATAAATAAATTATTAGGAAACTCATTTGTCTTGTAAGAAAAAGATCTTGATAAATAAATGGTGATGGTTTTTAATAATTATAAATGTGTCCTTTTTATGTTTAAAACATTCATATAAGTTATCATTTAATAGTGAATATGTTATAGTTTGAAATGGACCAGCTGAATATCTCTTGAACAGATAACATTGTAGAAAAAAAAATGTATTTAATATTTTTTAGTCTAGTTTTAAATTTTTACCCACTTTTTAAATATTCACTGCTTCAGAGGCAGCACAACTTTGACATTTTCAATAAGAACATATACTACTTTAAAAAAAAATATCGAATTTTAAATTGGACAAAGAATAACAAAGTTATGGAATGTGAAAAGAAATTTTGTTTTTATTATCAAGTATTTTCAACTGCTGTTTTGGTGCGTCAGTTTTATGAATGTCTTGGGTGATGTTGATGGGACTGCGAGCAGTGGATATGCACATTTTAATTAATAAACAGTTACATTTAACATCATCACAAGAAATTCATAAGTATTTTCCATTGTGTGGTTTTCAATTTTTTCTTTGATTTTTCAATGATCGTTTTGATATTGTTTACACAACTGGTCATTGGATTTAGAAAACATGAAAAGAATTAGAGCTAAATTTATACTTTTGTTTACCTTCATGAACTTTAAAAATTCTTCAGTAGTTATCAGTCAGTCAAAATGTGCCGAAGGGTGGGTTTTGCATTTGGGTTGATTTGTATGATAATTTCATTGAAAGTGGCGGAATTGCTCATCGTGCAGTCGAGTTGGATCCTAGAAATTTCGTAATCTTGCTCTCGGGTGAACCAGAAATTGCTTATTCGTGTTGTACACAATATGAGGAGACGTGGATCTGTTGGGGAGCCCATCAAGAATCTGGTCTTCATTTGATAAAGAACTAAACATTTTGTTGTATTTTCTTAAAAACCCACACTCCTTCCTTCAAAAGATTGGAAGGGTTTGGGTTTTTCAATGAACAAGATTAGAGATGTCCTCAAAACATACAATTTTAAACCATACCCATTGTCCAGGGCTTCGGGACAGTGATTTTGATAGGCAGTTCACGTCCCTTTCAGAGACGTCGATATTGGATATGGGACAAAATATTCTTCTAAACATCTTGTGAATCCACTCCAAGTTCATGAAAAAGGGTATTCCCTATTGATGAAAGTTTTTAACATGGGCACAGGAAAAGCCCCGAATCAAGTACCCAAGTTGTTCACATTCTGTACCATAACATTGTTTTTCTTTGACCAATTTAAAATCTGATTGTGCCGTTTTCAGTGTAAAATGTCCTTTAAACAGTGAATAAAAAAGTGTATATATGTGTAGAGATTAGTGACCGTTAATCGACAGTTATTCAGATATCGTGAGATGCGGTCGGGAGTGATGTAGGTTTCAGAAAAACATTTTCTTTATCGTTCCAACGTTTCGATCTTTTATTGAGATCATCTTCAGGGCCTGGGATTTACAAACAATGTTTACATTTAACAAATACATTTAGGATNATGTTTGTAAATCCCAGGCCCTGAAGATGATCTCAATAAAAGATCGAAACGTTGGCACGATAAAGAAAATGTTTTTCTGAAACCTACATCACTCCCGACCGCATCTCACGATATCTGAATAACTAAAAAAAGTGTATTTTCTCATTTGTAATTTAAAATTTGTGCTGGCTCTGTAATACTGACAACAAATATTTAAAAAAAAGATACAAATTTAAAACTAGACTAAAAATATTAAATACTTTTTTTTGTGTGATAAAGTTATCTGTTCAGCAGAAATTCAGCCAAGCCATGTAAAAAGGACATCCTGTATAGAATAAATATGTCAAAAAGTTTGTACTTGTGTGTTTGAGCATACAAGTGTAAAATATTCTCTTCTACAAAAAACAGGTAGCTCGAATTTGAATTTATGTACGATGTTATTTCTAGGAATCAACAATTATGGGGAATAGGGGTTTTTATCGTGCACGAAAGACAAAAGAGGGGTCCAGGTGAAGACACCCCGTTTGATTGATGACAGGAGTGAATAATGGCATGGGGTCGGGGCCAAGGTCGGAGGGGTTGTTTCTTCGAGGGATCGTGATTGCCGTAGAGGATTCCTCCCCTTTGGCGTACAACAATCAGACGTATCAAACGTTCAATTTCTTCCTGGGGTTTTCTTTCCTATTAGCCCGATAGACAACATTTTTCCGCCCTCGGCTGTATATCCGCCTCTATCTCCCGCTTATCCCAACTCCCGAACCAATTTGCCGAGAAATTTTCTCGGCATTTGTTACCTCGTCAAGATTATTCTTGGTACGTGTAGCGAAAAGAGAAAATATCAATAAATTCGGCTTAGAAAACTCAGCAGCACAATCTCACCTGCAGAAAGTAGAAAACAAGCGAAAATTGAATCTTAAGAATGATATCCTGTTCGCAACAGTTAGTAGGCAATATAGCACTCCAGTTAGACATCAAAATGCCTACTATTACCGTCCTCATCAAAGAAGCGTATGAGAAGCTTCACATGCTACGTTACAACATCCAGGCAAGCAGCTGTAAATACACCTCCATCACGCAACGCCAGTCGGTTTAAAAGAAAACGCCCAATTATAGCTAAGTATAGATAACTAATCTCAAAGGAAGAAGCATTTTGTTGCTAAGTTAGTTTTTTAGTTTAAAAATATATAGCTTTCGCCTCGCCTCGGCTTCGTTCGGGTAGTATGAAAATTTCTATAATTACAAATTTGTTATTTGGACAGAAACCTTATTTTGTGAATTATATTCTTTTTATTTTTACGATGTTCCTGAATAATAGTAGATCATTTAATAGGGAATACAAATAATTCTCTCAATTGAGAAATCATGGCATCTGTATTTTTCCAATTCTCATCCTTTACTAAAAGACCGTATTCTTTGCAAGCTACTTGGAAGTTTCCTTTACTTCACCATGCCCCGAGGAATATGGAGTTCTTTGGGGAGAGTGTGTGACGTCTGGAGAGTAAAAGTAAGTTATTAGCGAGAGTGGAGATGGTTCAA